CTCTTGCTTATTACACTTTTTATTTTTATCAAATCTCTTTTTGTAACTTTCTTAAAGTTGCTTTGTCTTTCTAGTTTTTATCTTTTTATTGCTCTTTTCCTTTTGTCTGAAGTCAGAAATAAATATTAATAACACACACACACACACACACACACACACACACACATATATATATATATATATATATATATGTGTGTGTGTGTTATTAATATATTATTGTCGGTCTGTTTCATGCTTAAACACAATCTCTCTGACCTTAATATTTTTTTTTTTTTTTTTTTAACAATGATGTTCATCCAGGAAGCATGGTGGAGTAATGGTTAGTGGCTTGGATTGAGGAAGAGATGAGTTTAAATTCCAGCTGAGTTAATTACAATTCCTTACATGCTAATACTCTTGGGAAAGGTATGAATCCATCTCTTCTTTCCCCAGCAATGGGTAAATAACAGGACAGACTGAGTCCTATAGCCTTGGGTGGCAACCAGTCTAGGGGAAGGAAAAACTGTAGAGGGTTTAGCTCCATCAAGCAATTTTGTTCAGGGAACACCATTGCTACTGCAGTACATGTGGTGTCCCCTACAACCCAAATAAGTTATGAGTTTTGTGATTATGATCACTCTCTGTACAAGGCCCAAGAGCCAAGTAGAGGGTTATAGAGTAAGAGGCATAGTTTATGGAGATATGTAGGGAAGATAATGGTTGACCCTAGACTTGAAAAGATTAAGATTGTAGTGATTGGGGAAACTTCATCTTGTGAGTGAGTTCCCCAAAGTAACAGCTTATAGGAAGAAGCTGCTCAGGTGCAACCAATGGAATATGAAGGGAATGAGGGTGGTTCACTACAATGTGCATGGCATGGTGGGTCTTATCCATGAAAGTTAGAACTGATGGACCTAAGTAATGTAGTTCATCTGGACGTAGCAGTAGAGCTTGTGACATTTCACCTATGGGAAAGGGGTTGTAAATTCATCACCCACAAGGACATGGAGAGGCTTTTGGGCTTTATTGAGACTGAAAAGTGAAGACTTGGCAGCTTTTGCCCATATATGGTAGTAGTACTCCATTTTCAGCCTTACTTGGCTCTTGTAAGGAGTCAGGTATTTACTTATGACATCCAACCTGTTGGTCATGTGATGTTTGATCCCTGCAGTTGACCGTTGAATGGATCATTTTGATCCAAGCCTTGTCTTGCCCTATGTTGTGTTTGATTTAGATCTCAAGGCTGGCGAGGATCAAACTGTTGACAAGAATCAGTGAATTGATTTAGTTCGGATATAATGAAATCACAAGTAAATTGTATAAAAGAAAATGTTTTATATAATGTTTGTTGTACAGAGCTGGTAGTACAATTATCAGTTCTTCAGGCAGGAATATATACTCTTAATGTAGAGTTATTGACCCTTCCCTTTTCGAATATTTTGTGACACTTTTTTTGTCATGACTAAGTATAGACAAAGCTTCTAGAACAACTTAAGTTGGAGGTTTCTTCAGGTGGGAAGTCAGGTGAGATCAGGTTATCTCTCATCCAGCATCTGGAACAACTGTCGTTGGTTGCTTCTACTTTCTGTTTATATGGACCTCCATCCAAAATGGCTATGGAGTCTGATGGGGCTTGGGGTTTTGGTAAATCCCCTAACCTCTACAAAGAGTCCTTGGTTATCTGACTCCGGAAAAATTAATCGCACTCCCAATTTTGGCGTGAACCCTTCTCCTAAGAGTAGTGATAGCAGAATATCGATTCACCTTAACTCCTTCCTTCTCATATTGGTACCTCATACCAATACCACTAAAGTGAGTGTGGGCAATTCCTCCATCTACTTGATATTTCACCTGAGCCCTTCACTTCAGTTGTCATTTTGACAAACTCGATTTTTAGACTGCAGAGGCGAACAGGTGGAGGCTTACTTATAATCATTTTTGTCAGCTGGATTCCTTGACCCAAACCCCATTCTCTCAGTCAGGCATTCACCAGGTGTCCTCATGACAGCTTTCTTAGCAGTTTTGACCAATGACACTTGGAGTGAGGTGGGGAAATTCGGCTCTTATCTAAAGAAATTTTAAATTTCTTTAGCGATTTACCCTAGCCCCTCTTTTTGAAAAGGGATATTAATCAATTCTATGACTTTGCTTTTGTTCCCAGAAAATCTTAAAAGTATTATCAGTTCACTTCTTGTTGACAAAATCGCTTGACTTAGCTTTCCAGAAATTTACCAGATGGCTTTCAAGTATACAACGAATCAGAGGCCATCATTTTCTTTATCTTTTTGACTGCACTTTAAATAGTGATTATCAATCAGTGTCTCCATTTCAGCCATGTCTTAGTAAAATCCTCTGCTGACTTGAATGTTAATACACCACCTCTCCCCATCCCTCGTGGGTTTAAATTATCCAGATGGCTTTTTTGGCTAGATTCCTCAAAATAATAAAGCCGTTTTAATTCAAGTCAGCCCTATTCTCCTTTTTATGGTTTATTCATGAAAGAAAACAAACTTTCTGAATTTTAATAAAATCCTTCTTCATCTCTTGCTATGTTTATCAAGTTATCTCTTAACTCTTCCAGCATCTTGTAGTGTCATATCTCTTTCAGTATATCTATCAAGCTATCTTTTAACCCTTCCAGTGTCTGATAGTATCACATACTGAAGTGGTACAGAGAACCAATCATTTTCCCAGCATCTTTAGTGATGGACTGTATAAATGAATTCCATATGAAATCTGGGTTGAGTTTAAGTCCCAATAGGCATTCAAATCATGGGGCCTGAAGAATGCATTCAAGCAGACTGTCATCACTTGGTGTTATGCTCAGTGTTCACTCTTATCTTTACACATTCTCTGTTTTGGATATTGAGTGTCACATAGTGTCACCGCAATGTGAGTTGTGAAGTACAGCAGGTTGGAGTTAAGGGAGAAACAATCCCTGTGACTACTCCCAAAGAAGGTGGATAATTCTCTAAATTTAGAAAATAGACTAAGAAAGCAGAAATAGGGAACAAACAAAACCCTTATTTGAATTAATGGAAATTAAAGACTCCATGAACCCCACCGAACAGTTTTGGGCCATATAAGCAGATGACTTTGGGGAGCTCGAGGACTGAGGTTGAGAAGCTGCATTGAGGTCTTCTGGAATCCATGCTGGCAGCCAACCAGAATTCCTGATTTCAAGACTTTGAACTTTGAGAAGTTTAGACAAAGTCCAGTGTCAGTAGAGAGATTGAGGTGGGAAGGGTTAATTTTGTTGTGCCAAGAGCTATATAAATTGAAGAATAATCCCACAAATCTCTTGTTATATTTATATTCGTCATGAAGATATTTTTTTCCTTAATATGGCACCCGCCATGGCTTTACCAGCACTGCAAGACTACGATGACATTCGCTCTTCTGCTGCTCTGACATCAAGAACACAATGTGGGCAGAGATGGTGTCGATCAAAGTGGCCAGCAATCAACAACCAGCTTAGACCAGTGTCAGCATTGGCCAGTGCAGAGTTAACACATGTTGAAAGTTTCATCCTAAGCTTAGAACTGGACCACTAAATGTGGTTACATCACCAGGTGTAGGGACAAGTGAAACGTGTTACATTATTTGGTGCCAGTGACCAAGGATGTGACCCTCATGGCACCCGTTTGTGTGTGCGTGTGTTTAATTCTTGAAATCTTATTACTATGAATGTCATTTTTTTGTTCGAGTTGCTATCCCCATTTTTTTTTTTTTATTTCATTAAAGTGTGAAATTAATAACAACTGGGGCCTGAATTGAGAAGTCCTACTGAAGAAAAACTGTGCCTGTGACAGGAATTGAACTTGCATGTTTTTTTTTCCCTATCATTGATGTAATAGGATGCAGGGAGCCTACTAAAAAATAACATTTATAGTAATAAGAAATAAAGTTGTATAATATATATATATATATATATATATATATATATATATATATATATATATATATATATATATATGTGTGTGTGTGTGTGCACACTAGGAATAACATTTGAGATAGTTTAAAATAAATTCACTAATTCTTTAGAAATATATTTATTTTAGGAAAATCTATGACAAAGAGGTGATTTTTTTTTTTTTTTTTTTTTTTTTTTGTACGCATTTTGTCCTTTAGGACTTTATCAGACTAAAGTGATGTTGATGTGATTACACGTGCATGAAGGAGAGGGACATTGAAATTTAAATTAAATTTTTTTTTTTTTTTTTTTTTGATCTATAAAATTTATATATCCTTTTCCAAAATATATATATATATATATATATATATATATATATATATATAAATTCATGAATCATTCATACAAAAACAAATATAGAGGTTAATGATTTAATTGGCGAGAATACTTTGTCGCAAACAATATAAATAAGATACATCAATCCCGAACCTGTATATGAATGACATAATTCCTGTTTATAAATTCCAGTTGCATAAGGTCTTTTTAATTTTTTACAAGCTTTCATCTGTTCATACAGACATCATCAGGTATAGAAGTAGATTTTGTTCTTGTTTTTACTTCTCAGTAATAAGAGGACAACGAAAATAGAGATGTCAGATGTTTTGGAACATGTGGTCGCAACGCTGAGTTTGAATTTAAATTTTAAGGTTCTGCGTTTTTGTACAAATATAGCAATAAGAGAATTCTTTTTTACTGGTAGATTTTCCGTGCATATTACTGAGAAGTAAAAACAAGAACAAAATCTACTTCCATACCTGATGATGTCTGTATGAACAGATGAAAGCTTGTAAAAAATTAAAAAGACCTTATGCAACTGGAATTTATAAACAGGGATCATGTCATTCATATACAGGTTCGGGGTTGATGTATCTTATTTATATTGTTTTATGCAGAAAATATTCTCGCCATTTAAATCATTAACTTCTATATTTGTTTTTTGTATGAATGATTCATGAATTTATAAATTATATTTGCACATTTTAATTGAAATTATATATTAGAATGAGACAGAGAGAATGATTAATTTTGCTTTTCGCTATCATTACAGTTAATCAATATCGTCTGTTTCCTAAATCGCTTGGGGATATTGTATCCACCTATGATGTACAAGAACTTCACTTATCCCTTACTCAGGGAATATGGAGACATGATAAATGGGGATATCCAATCCATGATGCTCCCCCGGGAGCTGAGTTATGGGTGTGGTTCTTACCCTCTGTTTCCAGGTAAGTTTCAACACTTTGTTTTAGCCTGAATGTCAAGTTGATGATGCTCTTTATCACAAAATATTAAACTCAATAATAATCCTGTCCTATTAGAAGCATATATGCCCGACACAATTTTGTCTGTCTTCTTTTTTGTGATATCTTCACTTTCCAAACACTGTTAATGTTTTTATTTGTTTAGCCTCTACTTTAATGAACCTTTTTTTCTATGTGGTGGTCTTCAGTATGATTAATGGGAGGAAACGCATTCATTCTATGAAAGCTTATACATAAGTTGAAGACAGTGCTTGTGCCAGTGTTGGTTTGTTGTAATAGAGAAAAGAAAATGAATTGTTGTATATTGAGTGAGAGATTGGATTAAATTAGACTCATTTTTTGGGATTCATATCTTTTTTTTATTATGGATGTAATGTTTTCTCTTCTGTATCTACACACTGTGATACCAGGGACACCCACATGGAAGAGGAAGAGACAGTTTTATCTCACTCAAGTGTTTCTGTTTGATGGATCAGCAGATAATTCCTTTTGAAGTTTGCTCTTCAAAGCAGCATCCATTTTGACCATAAGGTAACATGTAAGGGGTGGATGAGGGATTTTTGCAGATCAAGTGGCAACAAAACTGGAAATTGATTATATTCAGGTGCTAGTCTATATTAACCTTTAGCATGCTGGAGGTGCAAATTGTCACCATAGAATTCTCTCCTTTTGCACACTGTAGGCGCATTCTGTTGCCTCAAGAGAGTTGCTATAAATAAACACTTGACAATTGTTATTTCCGGAAATAACAGTTGACATTTTTCGCCTCCAGCATGCTTAAGTTTAAGTCATGCTGGGGTTCAATGAGAGTTCTGGTGGTGACTCTTGGTGGTGATGGACATATCTGTGTCACAGTTCTGAGATCTCCATGTTGATATTTGCCAGCCACCACATTGTGATATGGAAGAGGAGGAGGAGGAGGAAGAAAAAGAAGAGGAGGAGGAGAGCTGACTTAGCAGAACTTATCAAGCCAGTATCACCTACCCACCCGGACAAGCAGGCAAAACCTTGAATAAAATGTCTATATATATATATATATATATATATATATATATATATATATATATATATATATATATATATAAAATGGGGTTCTTATTTCTTGGCATGGTTTTTCATTCATCGTGTTACCTTTGAAACGTATAAACACTGACTAAGCCAAAGATGGAAATGAAATGTGGGGTGTTCACTGGTTGCTCACGGGGAATTTTGGATGAGGGTCTCTGTACATAAACAACACTTTCAAATTTTTTTATATGTAAGTACATGCAAATTTAGTACATAACTACAAGTAATTGAAAGTTGATACAATGACAAATGTAAAAGCAATGTGAAATTTTAAATTTTTGCGAAAAAAGATTGTAGTGTACATTCTTAGAATCTGTATTTGAAACAATAGTTAGATATATCCACAAATTTGCAGCTTAACCCCTTCCCTGTATTTTTTGGAAAAACATTTAATTTTCAGACAAATGTTATATTTGTTTTTAATATAGTAACTTTCAGGTCATCCCATAAGTTCTGTCCAAATTTTGAATAAAGAAAACAAGTGACCAAATGTTACATTTAATTACAGATTCAATCAACAATGTATTTTCCCCTGATTATCTATGACTTCCTTCCATCTATTAACAAGCTTACTAATTCCATTACTGTAAAATTCTTTTGGCTTTGATTCGAAGAACTCACAAATGTCAGTTTTAACCTCTTCCTGTGTTACAAAAGCTGTTTCTTCCAAATGATTCTGTAAGCTACGAAATAAATGGTAGTCTGAAGGAGCAAGATCGGGAGAATAAGGTGGATGAGGAATTTTCTCCCAACCAAGTTCTTCGATCTTCTGTGACGTGATTCTTGCTGTGTGGGATTGCGCATTGTCTTGATGAAACATCACCCCTTTTCAATTCACTAGAGCAGGTTTTTTTTTCCTCAAAGCTTGATTCAAATGCTCTAACTGCTGACAGTATATTTGAGCATTAATTGTTGCATTAGGTGGTAAGAATTCAAAGTGGATTATTCCTTGGTGATCCCACCAGATTGAAAGAAAAACCTTTTGCCCATGAAGTTCCCTTCTCAGCTGTGGCTAGGGTCCTTCCCCTTTACCAAGCCACTGTCTATGACGCTTAACATTTCGATAAAAGATCCATTTTTCTTCGTCAGTCACAAGTCTATCCTAAAAAGGTGAAACAAGTTGGCGAGAATGGAGAGAAGAGCAGATGTCAACTCTGGATTTGAGTTTGTTTTCAGACAATTCATGAGGCATCCATTTTCCTAGTTTAGGAACTTTTCCAAGTTGTTGAAGATGACGATGAACAGTTGTATGGTTTGAACTTTGAACCACTGCCAATTCTTCAACTGATAAAGCAGGATTTTCTTCAAGGGCTACTTCAAGAAGCTTTTCATCAAACTCAACTGGACGTCCGGTTCGATCTTCATCTTCAAGGGTGAAATCTCCACCTCTGAATTTTGCAAACTATCTTCTGCAAGTTCTTTCATTCACACATTCCTCTCCATAAACCGAGTGAATGTTTCTAGCCGCTTCGGCTGCTGAGTTTCCTTTCTTGAACTCATTAAGCATTATGTGCCTCAAATGATTCTTGGGTACTTCCATGTTAGCAGGGTTTTAATCAAACAAAATTTAGTTTTATTGTTCTCTGAAATAAAATTTGATCAGTTTAAATGCATCTAAACATAAAAATAATGTTCAGCTCCATTAGACATTATAAAATACTCTTTAAATTTTGTTCATTTTGAAAAAAGGTAAAATTCGGACAGAACTTATGGGATGACCTGATATGAAACTGAGGCATCTTGCAGTACCCATGTGGTGGCTAACACCTTTACAAGACATATGAGTTGACAATTGAACTCATTTCAAGCACAGAAGGACATAAAAAGAATCAAGATTGATGTATAAACATGTCTGTAGCTGGTTTTTGAATGTTATGTTTTGGATGTATTTATTTGTCCATGTCTGAAAAAGACACTTTTGGCAAAAGCATATATACACATCTATGCCGGGGAAGGGGTTAATGATAAAACAAACAGTCTTTTATGTAACAAATATTTCTTAACATAATTTCTTTCCTTGTAGCAATGCACTGAATTCATTGGTGAATGCTCATCACATAGATTGAATATTATGAATGATTTTTTTGACTCTTATTTCTTTCATCTTATTTATCTTGCTTTTACACCAAGTAGTAATAGTCTTAAGGTAGGTATCTCCACGAGATTGCTAAAAAAAAGAGCATAGCATGATGAAAAAGACGCCAAACTTGATGAAAACAAAATTTTATCGTCTAAATGTTTATTATTAAGAGGAAAGGTCAAAGTATTTTTGGGGTATTTTTTTTCCATTTTTTAATCGTTCCTAGCACGTCCGAAATTTTCGTTAAAAATCTATTTTTTTTTGAGTCAGCAAAATTGACCATTTTTTTCCATTTTAAAAAAACTGAAATCTGACTTTGAAATTTTTTAAATATCAATTATCATTTTTCAAAACTTATTTTAAGAAAATCAGAAATTATAATGTTTATTTAAAATATTTTGAACCAAACTTAACTTAGCTTTTGTGCCAAAAAGATGTAATTTGAAAATAAAACAAAACAGGTCATAAACTTTCGTCTCTTGACATGTGATGAATGATATATTTACAATTCCATGAGGCTAATTTGTTCTAATGGAAGGAGAAAAGTGAAATAATTTACATTTACGTGAACAAATTATTTACCCGTTATTTTTAACGAAAAACTTTCAGCGGTCTAATTTTTTTTTTTTTTTTTTTTTTTAGCTTTCACCTTTACGTTTATGATGCTTTATGGGAAATATATTCTAAAGAAATTAAAATAAAATTGTTAAGAGTGACATTAAATTTCATATTTCTTAAGAAAGGTATCTAATTAATTTATAGGTACCTTTCTTATGAAATTTTATCAGAATTGTACATAAAATACTATAATTTTATGTACATTTATTACATTCTACTGTTATTTGTATTTGCATTCATTTTATTATTAATTTTGATATTTCATTTATGGAAAAATGTTGTAACTGAGATTAATATAAAAATAAGATCATATAAATTTCATAAGATTATACTGATACTTGTAGGTACCCTTCTCAGTTGAAATTGAAAAATCAAATTAACTTCTCCACACGTGTTTCAAGAAAAGTAAAGGCCTTAACAGCGGAGAACAATGCTTAACTCAAATAACGCAACTTAATTATATTCTGGTTGGTCTTCCAATTTTATAATTACAGCTCGATTATAAGCACAAAATTACATTTCTTAATTACTGGGGATCTTCTGATTAGTCAAAATGATACAATTTACAACGCTAAAAAAAGATCTATCTGATAAGGACACTTATGAAAGCCGGACGACTTTTAACTAATTTTATAATATTTTAACAACTTAAATGTAAAATCTATTATAATTAATGAAATAACATATAATTGTATTAAAAATTCATTTTCATCGAAAAATTTTTTTGCTTTCAGAAAATATTGTCCATATTCAAAAAACAACTAAAAGCAAATAAAAGCATTTGAAATTAAATAATATCTTTGTTTTATTGAGTTTTGTATGTTACAATTCAGAGCTGATTTTCAGCTACTGCGTATCCAATTAAAAAAAAAAAACATGATTTGCATTCCTCAAAGCCCTGTGCTTTTAATTATTGTAATCACTAAAACCGATGCGATCAATTTCTAGCGTTTTCATAAAATTAGTTATGGGGGGTAATAAATATTTTAAAAAATATTTCTACCATGACTTTCATAAAAAAAAACATAATAATTTTGATCATCTGTGAATAGTTCCTGAAAGTTTCATTAACATCCGATAATTATTTCTATTTTTGCAATTAGATTTTTCAAATTAATGTGTGTCATACCAAAAACGTGCTAAAAATTGTCTGTTATTTACTAGTTCCGCTGATACAAATAGAAAAAGTTTTTTTAATCAAAATTTAGAATGTTCTAAAAGGAAAATTTTTTTTAAAAATAATTAAAAAAAAACTTTGGTCTTTCCTCTTAATAATAACATAAGCATTTAGACAATAAAATTTTGTTTTCGGCAAGGTTGGTGTCTTTTTCATCAAGCTATGCTCATTTTTAGCGATTTCGTGGAGGTACCTATCTTAAGGTGCATGAATTTCCTAGATGAAGCATTATCAAATATTTCTTTTCAATTGTTATTTCTTTTCTTATTTCTCTTGATTTTACACCTCATTGTAATAGTCTTAAGCTGTTTGAATTTCTTAGATGAGTTATCAGTTATTAATTTTTGAATAGTATTTCTTTCAACTTCTTGCTTTTATCAGTTTTTAGTCAGTTATGTGCTATGCATGATACATGCTTAGGTGATCATGTATCTTTTGATACATGACCGACGAGGCAGATCCCCCCCCCCACAGTAGGTTGCCATTTCTTTCTGTGGTAGACCAGTTGCCATCCAAGGCTATAGAACCCAGTTTGTCCTGTTATTTACCCATAACTGGGGAGAGAAGAAGAGGATTCATACCTTTCCCAAGGTTATTAGCATGTAAGTGAATGTAATGGATTGGAATGGAATTCAGTCTGAGCTCTTCGATTCCTCAATCTGAGCTGCTATCCATTACTCCACCGTGCCTCCTCCTTTGCTTTTATATCTTGTAATAATCATCTAAAATTGTCTGAAATACAGTCAAAGAATTGTCAATTATTATTTTATATTTGTATTTCCTTTGTCTTTCTCTTGCTTTTACACTGAGAATTAAGTCTTAAGTTGTTTGAATTCTTTCATAAACTCTTACCAATTATTTTAAAGTGGTATTTCTTTTATCTTGATTTTGTTAGCTCTTTATTGCAAATCTCAGACCATTATTCTACAACTGCTTAAATTGTGATCTGTAATCTTCAGTGAAATTTGAGATAACCTGCTGCTTAAAATCTTTAAAGTTCTTTTTATCTTAAATAATTTTTTACAATTTTGCCTTTTAATATTTCTTTTCATCTTGACAGTGTGAAACAGAGTTGGTCCGAGTTGGTCAATGCATTGTCAGGCCTTTTTTGTGCTTCTTTGAATTTCATGGATGCAAAGTCTACAGTAAATCCAAACTGGTCATTCAGGCCTCATGGATTGCAAGGAGAAGGTTTTGCCAAGGATGTGAAACTGCTACGTTATTCTGCTTTGCCTCGAGAAGTGGTGTGTACAGAGAATCTTACACCCTGGAAAAAATTGTTGCCCTGTGACTCAAAGGTTGGTGTATTTATTGGTTTGAATAAAGGGGTTGGATCTTCTTCAACCAAAGTAAAACTAAAGTTCACACGATACTGGGCTCAAGATAGATGGTTATTGTCAAAATGGTAATGTTAAATTAGGTGTGTGATATAAATGAAAGAGATGGTAGAAAGTGAAGATTATGAAGATAAGGAGGATAGATAACAGTTGATTCCTGACATGAAGAAGTTCAGAATGTAGTGTTTAGACAAGCACCAATACGGGAATCTGTTGCAGTTATTTGGAAAAAGCAGTCAGTGGAACTTTATCCTTCATTTAGAATGTGGATGAAATAAGAGGTGAACCAAATCTGTTGAAATAGCATAGAAGTAACCTAGAAGTAAAAGTCTGAACTGGTAGAACTAAAGAATGGAGCTTATCTGAATATTTGTCGTGGAAATAGAGTAAGTGAGAGGCTTATTACATTGAATCTGTTGGGGAAGAAGAGGTTGGAGAGCAGCTACGCCCCCATCTCCAACCCAGATAAGGAAGGCATACTCCATTTTTGGTTTAAGCTGATTCTTGTTGAGATAAAATATAGCAGAAGAATTTAGACACTTTCTGGGGTGATAGATTGAGCCAAACAACTTTCCAGTATCTTTTAGTAATGGATCATAATACCAAATCTGCTACTAAGAATTTCACGCAATGACAATCATCAGATGGAACTGATTGCAGTGTAGTGGATTTGGTATTATTATATTATACTAGCTTAAAAACTGCTCTATCAGGTGGCATTTAAGCTAGCTTCTGCAGAGGAATCTTGATTGGAGCTTTGTCACAATAGGTAGGAAGGGGTAGATGCGATAGGCAACAATAAACTACAGAAGAACTCAAAATTGATCGCTGCATTTAAGTATTGAATTAATATTTAAGCTCACCTTTTAAAAGTCAAATGATAATTATTCTGCTGTCACTTAATTTAATGACAATTTGATATATGTAGGCCCTTAGTTTCTATACAAACAATTATTTTTATTTCATGAGTGACTTTTGCTGGATTTCGCAATTAATTTTTATCATTCCCAAATTTATTTCCAAGTTATAAAAATTGTTATTGTACACAAAAAATTGTCGCAAAAAATCATGTAAAAAAAATCACCAAAAACAATCACAGTAATCCAAAATTTCGGATTGCGGGTCCGGATCTGGCCTGGAATGTTTCTAATTTGCTCATGGAATCTGCCTGATTTGGAGTAAAGTTGAAAAAGTGTGACACACCGACATTCGCATTTATTATATAGATTTAGGCTCTGTCAATTTTGGCATTGAGTCCGCAGTTGATTTCAAATTTTAAGCCTTGATCTACTCATCAGTGAGATTTCTGTTAACCTCTTCTAAGAATATTGTGAACTCTTAGTTTCCATCAATTCTTTGTAAGAATTTTGGTTACTATGTTTCGTCATGAACATTTGGCACATCTATACAGATGTCTCCAACTTCTTAGCTGTGGAACTCTTTTCCAATTTCATAATTCCCTACCCACCTACAATCTTCAAAATTTTAAATTAGGTTACCTCAAATGATTTGCTAAAAAAAAATGAGTGCCTCTCTCTGTCTTTTCTATAAATACTTTCATGGTAATTGTTCGTATGAGCTTTTTGCGATTGAACCTAGACTTTTTGAATTTAAGTGCAGAACTAGACTGGTGTTGAATTCACATCCATTTACAGTTGAGCTGATGAGTTGTAGTCTTAAATTCTATGCTAACAGTTTCTTTTCTCACACTTCTTGCTCGTGGAATTCCCTTCCAGCTCTGTGCTTTGCAGCCAACTTTAATCTCCAAAAATTTAAATGTAATGTCAATTGCTATCTGCTGTCCTCCTGATTACTCTTCTCTCTTCCTGCTTATTAATGTTTCTGTTCCTAATTCTTCCACGCCCTGTAACCCTTTGTGTCTTAGTGGCTTTATTGTCTTGCATGGAGTGATACTGAAAAGGTGGGGGAAAGGTTATTTAATTCTCTTGTCACATGTGCAGGTAGCATAACAACTATTGGCATGGAAAGTGGAATTGGCAAACTGAGTTCAAATTTTGTGTATAAAATGGGGTTGGTTGGGGGGGTAGAGAAAAATCTAAAGTCACTGCATTGGTTGAAAGTTGCGATGTTCTGTGGATAATAGAATTCTGTCTGCATCAAATGCTGCTAATTTATTCCTAATCTCCCATGCATGCTTTCTCTTTTCTTCACAGGTGGGGTTGGCATCACTTTTCAATGCTATGAAATTGTATGATACTGCTTATCATTCCTTGAGTGTTCATCTACGACCCATTTGTCAGGTGAGGAAACTTTTCTTTTTCTTCTATCTAAACAGTTTGATCTGTAAGATGAATGTATATAACAATTTGATGAAGGTGATGTAAATAGACATTGAAATATTAACAAAATTAATTCTCCTGCTTGCTTACAACCACGTTGATTAAAATAAATGTCTTTGTCTCCATTTTGTTTAATGAACAAAGCTGTGGATAATTTTGTGTTTCCAAATGTAATGTAAACCATTGTGGGGAAAAAAAAGATGTGGTTTCTTCTGATAATGAACATCTTCAGGCTATTAACAATTTTATTGATGAAATCAGTCTGATATAATAGGGGGAGGGGAGAAAAAAATACAATGAATACCAGTTACAGTTTATGTCTGTTTTAATTGTTTTTTTTTTTTTTATTTGTAGAAAGAAAAGGTGAAATCTCTTTTTTATTTGTTATAAGTATAAAATGTTAAAGACTAGATATATCTCCCTGGGTCCCTGTTGTAGACCGATGGTCCTTCATAAGAGTTTCATCTTGCTCACGGTTATGACCTTGTGCCAGACTAGACTAAATACATTTCAAATAGAAAAATAAAATTCAGAAAAACACGTATCTTGATTTTGTTTTCTTTTTTAGTTAAAGAACAAGATACAGTTTTTTTATTTATTGTAAAAAATAAACATATTTGTCTCAGATTAAAAAAAAGAAAATATTTCCGGACCGTCAAAATTATTCTTACTTAAAGGCATGCATGGTAGAGTAAAGGATTGCAGCTCGGATTGAGGAATCGAAGAGACGAGTTAATTACATTCACTTACGTGCTAATACTCTTGGGAAAAGTCTGAATCCAAGTCTTCTCCCCCCCAGCTATGGGTAAATAGTAGGACAGACTGGGTTCTATGGCCTTAGGTGGCAACCAATCTAGGAGAAGGAAAACTTTGAATTCAAAACTGTATATAGGCCTGGTGAAGTGCATACTTTGCAGCTAAGGAAAAGATCGTTTGCATTGACTTGATGATCCTGACTACAGTTGATAAAGACAAAAGCAGATTACTGAAACTTTTGTTCTTTAATTTATGCTGTCAGTCAATGAACAAGTACTTGATTTAATATGCAACATGTTCTAAAAGTGAACATCCAATGGTCTAAATGTGTTTTAATGTTGAAAAAGCCTAAATTATCAGATTATCCTGATGATTGAATTTATAATGTACAAATTTAATACCAAATTTTGGATAACTGATGATTTGGTACCACTTTTAGTCTGGGCAAAATTCCAACACATTTCAAATCGTACACTAACTTGATTTATGTTAGTCACTGATATCATTATTTTTGACATCTTGGGTTTGCATTTTTAACTCTTGCAATTGTTTCTAAAAGAAATTCAAGTTCTTATCATAGGGTAAAGGCACAAGTCAATGTCAATCCAAGAGGAGGCTAAACTATTGAGGACATTGTGTCAGTCATGTGACATATACAATATTGATTTGTCAACTGTTAAAAGAAACAAAGACAATTGTGAAATTTTCTATCAAGAGTAATTTCAAGACTTCAGTAAGAGTTTGAAAGATTCTAAAAGATGTTGGAAATCCTGAGCATATTTGAATGGTGAATCAAAATATTATTACTGAATTAAAATTTACTTGACTTGATTGATCCATCTTTAATCCTGGAAGATTTTAGAACCACAAATATTGGAAAGTGTGACCTGTATAATTTGTAATAAGAATTGAATCAAGAAAAGACTGACATTTATAAAAATTATTCAACATTTTTACCCTTTATTAATAACATTGTGTAAAGGATAAAAAGTCATTATTATTACTTTTTCTCTAATCAATTACCAAATTGAGAAGATGCATTGGTATTTAGAATCTACCAATTGTCACTTGAATGACTAAGACACTCTGGAGACCATGGATTGGTGTAATGGTCAACAAGGCAAAACTGGTTGACCATCACTACGGAGTAGAGAGTTTGATACTCATTGAATGTTCCATACAAAATTTGACATTAAATAATGCAAGAAGAATTGACATAAAATCAGCTAACCAACAATTGGTCTGGGGTATTACTTAGCAAAGCTAGTCTGGTTGGACCATTACTACGGATTAGTCAGTTTGACCTGCACTAGGTGCTTCAAGCAATATTCAACATTAAATAAACAAATAATGTTTGACATGCCTTCAAAGCAACCAACATTAAGTGGCTTTTCTTCTAATGTTTGCAGATGCACATCATATGGTTTTATTAAAATAGTTGCTCTTCTTTTCTCCCCAGGATGAATCTTGTAGCAAGCCTTCCATTGAATTAACCCAATCGCTTGCTGTGGTGTTTGATTCAACTTTAAAGAACAATGGATACCAAAGTAAGTAAATTAAATATCTCAATTAGTTCGGGGTTAGTTTCAAGGAAGATTTCCATGTCTATTTATATGGGGAGAGTAGAATGGATCAATAAGTCTGTAGCATCTAAAGTTATTAGCTGAATTTTGATTTGAAATATTCACTGAATTAAGCACGACATATTTGTTGCATAAAATAATAATTTTTATCATTAGTCTATGAACTTATATATATATATATATATATATATGTGTGTGTGTGTGTGTGTATGTATATATATATATATATATATATATATATATATATATACACACATACATGTATGTATGTGAGGGTAGGTAATAAATTATCTGTACTTAACATACCATAACATATCTTTAGAGAAGAGTGCGTATAATTTTGGACTTTCCATTCATATATATATATATATATTTAATCCAACACATTTTTATTACTTCAGATGTTGTTTTTAGTGGGTATATGTATTTGAGCAGATGCCCTCTTTATTTTAAACAGTATTTATTTCATCTAGAAAGGGAGACACAAGTTCAAATTAAATTATTTAATAAGTTTTCTCAAGGTTACAGGCTGGTAGATGAAATAAATACTGCTTAAAATAAACAAAGAGTCTACTCAAATATTTTAATTTTGAACCTAGACTTATAGGCTAAAAAATCATTTCTATATTGACAAATTCAGAAAAAGTTGATATATATATATATATATTTGCTTTTTGATTGAAGATTGGATTTTTTTTAAACATTTGCCACTCCAATTACACTGCTTCCCAGCTGGGAAATCTCTCTACTGAAATAAAAAAAACACACACACACACACACACACACAAGTGAGGAAATGTATAAAACATATTTTCTATTTTAGATTGGTCACTAAGAAAATTGTTTGGCCGTTCATTGAGAAACCAATGTCCACTTGCTGACCTTAGTAACATCTATGTGGATATGACTTGCACCCAGGTGAGTGATCCTTTTTAACATAATTTAATTAAAACTGACTTAAATTTCTGTAGAAACTTGTGTATATAAATCAATCATGGTGAGCAGTAAACTTGATGTTGGTTTTGACAAGAAATCACTTGTTTACACATTTACATCTTTGTTGTTACCACAACAACAAAGATGAGGACAGCAGTCTGAATGTAAATAGTGTAAATAATAACTGCTCATCCCAGAAATTCTGACAAAAATCAGATCTTGTATTGAAAATGTGGATTACATCAGACAGAATGGTTTAATAAGGTACAACTAGGAAAACTTTTATAAATTTTAAATTGTTTCTATATTTAGTTTCCAAATAGATTTTGTAAGTGCAATAATGCTGAATTGTTTGCACAGATACCCTTGGGAAAGGTATAAATCCATCTCTTCTACCCCCAGCTATGGGTTGAATAGCAGGACAGGCTGGGTGCAATAGCCTTGGTTGGTCACCAGTTTACTGCAAAAAATGACAACCTACTATGTGAAAATTTTCTGCTTAGTCAGCCATGAATCAAAAGAGACAGGATTGCCCAAGCGTCTGTTTTTAGGTTTGTTTAATTCTTTAAATCTTACTTTAAGTGTATATTAAAAAATTAGGCCCATTAATGTATTTTAATTATAAGATAAATTTTAGACATAAATGTGTAATATGAGGTTCCATCATCTGCAAATGTTTGGATCTTATGTTCTTTAAGTCAAGGTTTTGCGAATATTTGTATATTTGGCCAGTATTTATCGTGTGTTATTTATTCATATTCATTCAAGGCATTTTATCTGTAATGGATTGTGTTCATATTTTTACAAAGGTAACTTTTTTTTAAAATCAAAATTATCAGTTTTATTTTCAAATGATACTAAGGAATTCTATGCCTTATCCAAATAGAAAAGAAAGCCAGGTTCATAACATCTGCATTTAATTTTTGGGCTTTTTGGTAATTACATGTCTATTAAAAATTGTGTCTCTTAATGTATTTTTAATTGTATGATAAATATGATGAATATTGAAAGTGAATGTGAATATATTACATCACCTGCAAATGTTTAGATCATACATTCTTTAAGTCTAGGTTTTACAAGTATCGGATAATATGATGAAGTGCTTATTGTATTTTGCTTATTTGTGTTATGTTCCTTCTGGTTATTTTTCTATAATGAATTGTGTTCAATTTATATGAAGGTAGCATTTTTGAAATCAACATTATGGCCCATTTTGTTTGTGTTACTTATTAGACCTTATGTTGAAGTCTGTTTCAGTTTTTTGGGGAGGTTAATGGAAGGACAGTGTAAAACAGTGGTAGTTATTTAATATTTCAAACTTTTTGACCCTTGAAATTATTTTAATAGACTCATTTTCTCTCCCATCCCATATTCATTTAATGAAATTTTGAGAGAAAAACAAAAATAAAGACTTAGATGATGAATGTGAAAGTTCTTTTTTTATTCTCCAAAAGAAGTCAACTTTTTTCTTGAAGTCTTTTTCATTTATTCAAAGTCGGCTGCAGTAATTAGAGTTTAGAAAAATAAATTATTCAAATTTGATTTTCATTATTATTTTATTTTTTTCATAATGTTGTAAAATTAATTTCAGTTTGAAATGATTTGACCAACACCTGTAAATGAATTTAGAGTGGAAGAGAAAAAGATTTTCTCTCAGGTGTGACATGTGTTTCCCTTGGCACACAAATAAATAATATTGTACTTAGGTTTTTTTTTTTTTTGTTTTTGTTTTTTTTTTATTAGTTTGGCATTGGTTTTTTTTGTCTTTTAGTTTTTGCTTCAGTCAAATCAACTGCACTTTTGGAAGAAGTGGGGAGGCAAGTGTCATGCTAAATTCAGCTGATTGTTCAAAGTGGGTCTCAGAATTAAGTAATGTCATTCAATGATGGGGTTTTGAAAAAATATATATAAAAATTTTAACTGTTATTTTTCATTGAGTACTTTTATTACCACCAGCACTTATTGTGAAATATTATATATATATATATATATATATATATATATATATATAACAAATAAAATTAAATGTTTACTTATCTGTCCCTACTTGGAGTATTGTGGAAATTACATTTACTCATCATCAGGAGAATTTATTGTAAAATTTTAATATCACCCCGCTTGAGTGGATAAAGCTAAGTGAAACTCTGAGTAAGGTCAGATAAGTGAGCATCTATTTGTTACTCTTAATACACTATCTATTGATAGTAAGCACTGTAATTGCAAAGAATACTTGGAGCATTTTAATTACAAAGACTGTTTTTTTGGCAAAGCACAATTGCATTGTTGTGTGTGTGTGTATATATATATATATATATATATATATATTCTGACAGCCCCTAAAATCCTGATATGTTCATTTCAATCTATATTACCCTGAATAAATTAACACTTTCAAATAAGGCAGTACCATTTCCATTGTCAAATGAAGAGTCTAAGAATTGACAACTTTGCTTTAACCAGCAATTCAACAATGTCCTGTTGATTTTATTCTCATTTCTCAGTCGACTGATTACCGATGCCAACTCATGCCTCAGCCTGATCAAATACTCAACTTCACCCAAAAAGATGAACAGTTCTCCTACGGCCAGTACAGTGTTGGCAAACACACCAAAGATGGCAACTTTCTCAGCATTGGTATCCAGTACAACCAGCAGCCCAAATATGGTCCAATAAAGCCGCCACCAGTTTATGCACACCGTTATATCACAGGTAGGTTTTTGCATTACAAGAATAACTTTAGATGTGTGACAAGGGGTACAAATGAGTTAGTCTTTTGACAGGATAATTCTCAACACCTTCAATGACCACTTTATAGTTATGGATGGACATCAATTGAAATTCATTTATTCCTCATGGAACCAGCTTTGAATATATATCACTCAAAGTAGAAATTAGAGGGGAAAAATCAAAGGATGTTAAAACAATGAAAATTATAGTCCAATTAATTAATTCTTAGCACCATGCATTATTATTATTATTATTATTAATTCCCTTTCCACTGTATTCTTTTTCAAGGCTTTTCAGTTGCAGTATACTTATTGTTAATTTAGCTCAGTCAGTTTCTGTTGCTATAGAAGGATATGACAACACATATATGAAACTCAAACCCACTATTGTTCAGTCACTCTACAGTGGCAGGATAAACTTTTTCAACAGAAAAAGAAGTCATATACAGAGTGATAAAGATTAAAGATGTTTCTTATAATTTCTGTACTGAAGAAGGTTGGAGACTTGGTTGAAACTTCATTTCAATTCTATATACCAGGTGTATCAAAAATACTTTTATAAACTTTGGGGGTGGGTTCCTCACACCAAAATAAGGACAAAAGTTCATATAAACATGTCTGTAAATCTTTTGTTTTTGAGTTTAAAGAAAGTTTACAGTAGCTGGCACTGTGTTGCCATGTAGACTAGGTTACATTTGTTATTCTTTTGAGATATTTTCTCATGCCAAAATTCTATAATCAACATATTGCTTTTTTTGTGAGCCCACTGTTTACGCCAATTCTCGGGTTTTTGAGAAAAGTAACTTTTTGGGAAATAAAATCTTTTTAATATTGAACAGTATATCTTTCAGGATATCTTCTTTCCGTTCTTAGTATTTGTTTAATTTTTATGGTTAATTAGTTAATAAATTACCATAGCTAAATAGTGTCCCACATGAATTTAGAAGTTTTCTTTTTCTTTCAAAATATAAAAATCTGTACATTTGCAACAAAAATAATTCCAAAAATGTTGTAGACTGAAGTTCTGACATAAAGAAGAATTGTCACAATTCAAAAAGCTTTGAATTTTATCACTTTTTTGTTTACTATGTTTTTCTTTACTCTTTTGTCTGTCAATAAAAATTTGAAGTTGTGAGATTTCATTTGGAAACTGTTTTTTTTTGTGATAATCGTCATTCTTTTCTGTGAGCCAATTTCTGTTGAGACTTTGTTCATACAGAGAAATGATTGATAAAAATTGACTGCAGGCCTGATTGGCAACCAAGATGAAATGCAGGAATGTTTCAAAGAAAGTACAAAATCATTTGAAAACAATCTTGACAACAATGTCCTTCCTGTCAGGATCTTTTGTCCACATCTGACAAAGCGGGAGGAGAGTCAATGACAAATAAACAAACATCTAAACAGATGATGATTTAAAAACACCGTTTTCTCATTTGATTTGTTTGTTTAAAGGCATATCAACTGCTTTATGGGTCATTTAAATTTAATTTTCTTGGGAGCATTAGTAAATTATTTTTACAATGTATTACTGGTAAATTTTTCAGCAGCAATTAAAATGTGGTTCAACATTCCTCAAAACCACCCAATCAGTACACCTTGTTGCCGAATGTAGTTTATCATCATACACATTTAATTGACATTGTTGATTGTTGCCCAAACAGAAAATTAACTTTAATTAATTTTTTTTTTTAATGGTTATTTGGCAATGCCCATCTCCTTTCCAAGTAACTATAAGTTCCATGATGCCAGCAATAGGGGAAAATTGAGCTCTTTTTGCCATCGACCATTGTGGCATGTCTTGTTAAGGGAGTTTTGGATTCATGCCTTTCTCGAGGACATTCAAAGCTGGGATTTGAACTAGTGGACTTAACTAACAAATAACTGACCCCCGAAAAAAGAAAATGCTCAGACCGTTTTGCTATCAATTTTTCATGTTTTGGTTTTTTAGGTTATGGCCTGGAGAATGGCGGCATCACTTGTTACCTGTATAACAAATTGCCACAGAAAGTGAAGGTGATTTACCTTGAGTCTCTTCCATGGTTCATGAGAGTTTATTTCAACACTGTCAAAATTGTAAGCAATGGTGTTGTCATCAAACCAGGTAAGTTGACCCCCCCCATTTTCTGAAGAAAATTAAGCTTCATGCTTTTTTATTTATTTTGGGTTTTCAGTTCTTTTAACTTCTTCCATGGTGAGCAGATTTGATATGACACAAGGCAGAAAAGAAACCAAAGATTGAAAAACTCAACTGTTCTGATGATAGGGAGGTATGGCACCTTGCATTTATTGGAAATATTCATAGAAATATGAGTTAATTTTTTTCTTATTCAGTTTATTAAACAGGTTGTTAATTTTTTTTTAAAAACGGAAAATAACTGAGTTGAAGATAATTCACTAAGAATGTACTAGACGATCCTAAGGAAAGAAGAAGGAAAAAAAAAAAAAAAAAGAAGGAAGGGAAGAAAAAAAGAAAGAAAAATGTATGACGCATGACCCAGTTGATGGTAGAGATAGGTCTGCGTGTGGTCGACTTTTTTTTTTTTTAAAACAAAGGGAAGAATAGAATTGGAAATAATAAAAGAAAAAAGAAAGGAAAAAAGACATGATATCGACCAGATGTCGGTCAGAGGCCTCTGACCGACTCTTGCGTGGAAAACTCCTTATCAATTTGGAGTGAAGAGAAATTTTTATTTTTTTCTTTTGAACAATAGAAACGAAATTTGTGATCTGAGAGAAAGTGTCTTTGGGTTGAGGGGAGTGACCAGTGAAACGATATACGGAATTGACCTGTTAAGAATTGGACACCCACGTTAAGAAAGTAGAGATATTTCGACCTAGATAATTAAGATTTTCGACTATCAGGTAAAACAAAGAAGTAAAAAAGGGACAATTGTTTTTGGCTCACAGAGGCGCCAAGAAGGCGGAAAAAGAACCTTTTCTAAAGTCAAGACTAATTAGCAGCGGGCTGTTTGACAAAGTCCAGGTGAAAGAAAGCTAAAGATTGTCATTTTGCGTCGCGTGCAAAAGGTGCGAAATCGGATTTTGTTTTTTTAAAACCAGCACGAGGTAACCACACCCGCCAACAAAAGGGAGAGGGTGTTCGGTCAATAACAATTGGTCGAATACAATCACGTGACCGCGGAAGAAGAAGGAAAAAAACCTCGATCAATAACTGTTGGACGAGGCGGTCACGTGGGCTGCGGAAAAGAAGAGAAAGAAAGGTTCGATCGGGAACGATTGGTTGGGAGCGATCACCTGACATGAGAGAGACTAAGAGAAATAGATATCGCCGCCCCACCAAGAGCACTGTGAAAAGTAGGGGTGAAAACAATAACGATAATGGAAAGTCAAAATTAATACGACTTTTAAAATTATCGAAAAACCCTGACGCCGACAGACCCACCCCAGTTTGTTGCGGCGTCAATATAAGCAGGACCCCAGTCGACAGAAATCAGTTTGAGTTGGAGATGCAGCCGGAGTTGGGCTGAGTTGCAGCAGGACCGCGGGCAGGGAAGATCCTGAACGCGGACATAAGACCCGATTCACTCGCCCCTTTGCGGGCAAAAGAACCCTCAGACAGAAGGACTTCCAGCCCAAGTCGAAGACAGAAGAACTTCCAGCCCAAGTAGATGAAGAAGAAGATTGCCTGAAAACCTGAGAAGAGTTGGAGCTGAAGTTGAGTTGAAGTTGGAGTTAGGTTGGGCGTGAGTTGCAGTTCACCCTCGGACGACAGAAGAATCCTCGAAACAAGAAATCCTTCCAGCCCAAGTTGAAGACAAGAAATCTTCCACCGAATTGAAGCAAGAAATCTTCCACTGAATCGAAGCAAGAAATCTTCCACTGAATCGAAGCAAGAAATCTTCCGCTGGGTTGAAACAAGAAATCTACCAGTCTAAACAGAAGAAGAAGAAGAAATACAACTCAAGTCGGAGAGAAGAATCAACTGCGAATGATCGATAGAAATTAGCCCCAGTGTCGAACTGAACCACACTCCGACATACATACATGATTCTAGAAAGTAGGTAATTCGACATTTTCCTATTGTGTGATAGAAGCTTGGTGCCATAGTCCACAGAGCGGGTCGGGAATTGAGAACAATTTTGTTTTTATGTAACGGACTTTAAGATATAAAAGGTTGTTACCCTTTTTATCAACAATTTTGTTTGGTGTCGTGAGTTTTTATTTTATTTGTGTTTTGCCACCCCGTCGGACTCAACTTGTATCGGCCCCGATCCCTGCTGGTCCCGTCTGTCTAAGATCTAAACACAGCGTGGGTAGACAGACCGGAGATCGGTATAGTTGCTTTAGTGACCAGGTATTGGAAGCGGGTCGGGAAAGGCGAGGCTGGTGATCATCTGACCAAAGGGTTGGAGCGGCACGCTTGGACCCAGGAGGAACGACGTCACCGTTGGCGCCGTAACCAAAGGATCCGACACTGGGCCAGGTGTGTAACCGTCACAGAGGGATAATTTACAGTGTGCGATAGCTTGAAGTTATGTGTTTTATTTTTTTTTAATCTAATGTTACCCAGTAAAAGGCCCAAGAGCCACTCAAAGTAGAGGGTTATTGAATGAAATGTGTGAGGATAGATAACGATTGGTCCTAGATGTGAAGTGGATGATTGTAGAGTTTGGTGAAGCATTTAAGGTGCATCTACCTCAGCCACTAAGCAGGCCCTTATACAAATCGTCAGATTTGTTGGTTTGACAGGTGCATGTTTTATAAGGGCATTATTCACCCTAATGTGGTATGATCTTCACTGAATGCCCAATACTTTTGACCTTTTGTCATACTTAGTAACACACACTAGCTTTTTTTTCTTTTTTAAAAAATATCTTGTGTCTGATATTTTCCATTTCCATTCTTAAGACAATTTTTTTTCTAAATCTTTTGTTCTCACAATCTGAAATCTTTGAATAATATTGAATAATTCAAGTGAATATCTTTTACAGTGGCCATCAACTATGTCCAGGGAAAGGACAGGGTCCAGCCTTACACGCTGGAGGTGATTGTGGAATTGCCACCCAATTCAGTCAGTTCTTTGTCATTTGAGTTTGACCGTGCCTTTTTGAAGTGGACAGAATACCCTCCTGATGCCAATCATGGGTTCTACATAAATTCTGCTGTACTTTCTGTCTCACTGCCTGTGGCCACCAACTATACAACCCCTGGACAAGCATCATCAGTCCTGATTGACAGGTAAGTTGAATATGACAAATTCAATTTCATGCTGTAGAAATTCAAGGATGTCTTTACAGTTAAAAATAGAAACAAAAAACAAAACCTTGTTTGCCTTGGCCTGACCATTATAGGAGAATCAGTGTTCTCTTCAAATTTGATCATGGAAACTTTCAAAGGAAATTGACAATAAGCTCCTTTCTCACATGGTTATTGAATACTTACTAAGCAAAGTCTGGTATAAGGCTTAATAGGAAAGTAGAAAAATTGTGCCATCCCTGTAATGAGGACAGCCTATCTGTGTGTGCTTATGAAATGATAACTTATGTGGGCTTGCAATTATTATTGACCATTGAGCAGTGTCAAACAAATCTGGATTTGTGGGGGGGGGATGTTATGTCAGCCACCATCAGAGCAGCAGTTGCACCAAATCGTTTGTGGCTTCTCAAAGATTTTTTTATTGGTTTTCATCAGGAGGTAAATTTTAAAAAAAAAAAAAAAACCAAAAAACTGGTCTTTGAGGCAATGATGGAAACCTTGGAGAATAGCTGTTATTAACCTTTTCATGTTCATTAAAATACAAGTAATGCTCGTCTGATATGAAACAAATATGTTTGAATTTCTGGGATGAGGAGTTGAAGCATTGGTTTGTGAATGTGGTGGCATAGTAATTGTGAGTTCAATCCCTGCGCTGGGCAGTTTGTAGTTGAACTCTGTAGAAATGGTGAGCAATAAGTGAGCATTACTAAAAATAAGGACTAGACAAGATATCTCTAGACATGGACAGTGAAATTAGAAGAGTCTACCCCCGTAGATTAAATAAAGGGTTTACACCTGATGAAGGCCAGTGAAAGCACAATGGCTGAAACATTGTTGGGATAACAACAAAGATGAGGTCTTAAAATATATTCCATTATTGGAACAATAGGCATTGTTGTGATAACAATGAAGATTTGGACAATAGTCCGCTTGTAAATAATGATAACTGCTTGTTACTATAGGCAGAAATACTTTTGGGTTGTTTGGTTCTGTTAGGCTTGCCCCTACTAAGGGGACATCTGTTCCCTATACAACTTTGGAGGTGGGATTGGAGTGAAGCCATCAATTTAAAAGTAATGTTAACTGATTGTAGAGATATTTCTTTTGGCATAAAAATTAGGTGGTATAATTTTTCATGTTTTGTTTGTTTATCACTTTTCTTATAATTCCTGTTTTTCTTTATCAATTTTAGTTTTGTTGAAGAGACTGGCCAGAAACAGTTTATTGTGCGCATTCATACAGAGAGCCTCTTGTTATCATTGCCAACTCCAGATTTCAGCATGCCCTACAATGTCATCTGTCTTGCTTGTACAGTTATGGCAATTGCATTTGGTTCTATTCACAATTTGACCACTAGACGTCTGGTAGCCAGAGACCCAGACCTCAAGACAGGAATCATTCACAAGATAAAGACATATTTATTGAAATTGCACCCAAAAAGAGGACTCAAAAGAGAATGAAAATAAAAAAAAGGGGTGGGGGGACTCTTTTATCATTCTTGTTGAATTTTTAAATTTTTTTAATAAAGCTTTTTTTACAAAAATTTCTACTTTTGTGTTTTCTGTTTTTGTTTTACTTAAAACTGAATCCAGGCTTCAACAGGAATTGGTTGATAGAAATATCTTGAGTAACATCTGGCACAAGGTTTAGAATTTTTAGTCAAAAATGCATATGCCAGTGACAGTAGATTTTTTTTTTTTTTTTTTTGTATCATCTTTGGTTGGTGAATTTTGGTTAGCAACATATAACCTCTATGGGTTATTTAATGCTGAAATCTAAATAATATGAACACAGTTTTATAGCTTCAACTATATATTTTTATAGTGTTTTGTTTGGAGGTTCACTGTTTGCCCATAGCTGGGACCTTAACAGGTGCTACTCCTTCATGTCAGGGAACAGCAGCAACTAAGAGATGGTTTCACATTCCTCAAAACCTCCAATTTCTTGATCAGAGGTCTTGCTGCCGGATGTAGTGTCAACTTTGGTGCATCCCAATAAACGTGAACATGTAGGAAAAGCAATAAATTAAGTATTTTTTTCTTACACTGCATTTCACTGAAGAAGCTATTATTTCAGCAGCGCACAAATTCAATCACTAAGTAGAAGTGGGGAGGTCATGTGTTATGTACCCTCATACCACAAGGGTTCTGATGTGTAATATATAACCAATCAATACCTTGAGACATGGCTTGGACAACATTTGCCTGCCAATATTAGATGAGGTGTTGCAACACACACTTGTGAGTCAGCTATCAGGTAGCATTTCATAGCCAACCCAGATTGTACATGGATACAACACATTACCATTTTATGCAGAGCACTGTTAACCACACACTTGTGATCTTGGAGGCAGTGTATGTCATTATTATTAAACTTTGGGTTTTCTTACATATCTGAAAAAATAAGTTTAATAATAATGACATTAATGTCCTGGAACGACCAAGCCAGTCACCGGATTTAAATCCAATTGAAAATTTCTGGAAACTATTGAAGTTACGAGTTCATAAAAGAAATCCATCGAATTTAAACAAATTGAAGAAAATTTGTGAAGAAGAATGGGTCAAAATACCAACAATACCTGCAAGAAACTAGTTGAAGACTACAGGAAACGACTGGAGGCATGAAGCGGAACACGGGCTACTGTACTAAATATTAGTAAAGCGTGTTAAATACTTTTGCATATGGGTTATTTTATTTATTGTTAATAAATGTTTCTCAAAACAGTGGTTTTAAATTTTCCTTCCATGTTTTGATCGACAATGTTCGTTTAAATATTTCCTATAAGTTTCGTTGAAATTGATCTGTTATTTTTTGAGATATGTAAGAAAACCCAATGTGTTAAATACTTCTGCTACCCACTGTATGTTCCCATTAAATATCACATAGTAATAATGCAGGATTCAAAAAACCCATTATGAGCTTAAAAATTACTTTATTTTGTATTGGAAACAAAATTAGCAGATACAAACTTCTCGGGGTACTAATGAGAAATGTATATATATTTTTTTTTTAAACAGATTGAGTTTAGCTTTGCTTGTAATAGCTTCCTGTAGCTTACTGATAAAGCACACATGTTTGAGTCCTGTTGGGAGGCATAAATAAAACTGTCAATCTCTATGCCTGTAGACATTAATTTAATGGTTTAGAAAAGCAAAACAGATGTTTTAATCAAACATGTGTACCCACTGAATAAATAAATATATAATAATAGCCAGCCACTTGTATTCGAGGATACCCATCTACTAGACAATCCCTAATTCAGACGCTTGCTCAGGCACATTTATGTTCAACATCCACAGATCCCACCTGTGGTTTATATTTCAACTATGCTGAGCAGACCTTAGTTACAGTTTCTGGGAGAGAGAGAGCATGAGCAACAATCTGAACAAGGCCAGCACACTCAAACCCTTGGTCATGCTAGCACAGTTTGGGTCAACCTGTGGTATGGTTTTCAGTCACTTTCCCCACACATTGGGATCATCCCCCTTCAGACTGATAACATCAGGAAGTTTCCTTCTTGACAAATCAACTGTGGTGAGATTTGAACCCAAGTCTCATGGTCAGAAAGCAAATGTTCTAACCACTTGGCCATGACACACCCATAATGCAATGAGTAAATTGTCACCATTTTATATTTTTCATTTTGTGCATGTGCGTTGATTTTGTTTTTGTCAACTGCACAGTATAGTAAGGTCAGTTGGGCATTGCCCGGGAGAAAAAGAGACGGTTTGCAAAATTTTCAATTTAACCATGGTAAAATGAAAATAATTTTAAAAACCTTTTTAAGTCATTCCATGCTGTAAACCTAAATCATTTTTTCCTCAAATATTCAAGGGTTACACATTGCTGAAAAAAAAGAGACTGTCTTATATTTAATTGGTGTGTGTTGCTCAAATCCACTGTGTGTGTGTATAACCTCAAGTGTTCTTTGTATAGATAGAAAGGCTTTTACTACCGATTGAAAAAAAAGAGGCAAGAGCGAAATTGAAAACAGTTGTCTGCCAAGCAAAACAAATTTTAATAACCCATTTTGTCTTTCATAAATAAAGCGGAGTTAAAATGAAAAGCAAAGATGCCAAAATTCACGTATAAATTCTGTAGACCTGTTCTCCATCCATAACATCCAGTTGCTGTAAAACGAAGAGAGAAAAGCATGTTAAGATAAAAGCTGGCATAAATTTATAATTTATAGAAAGCCAACAGTTATGAAATAGAGTATCTAACATACAAAAAAAAAAAATTTAGTGATACAATGGCACCTAGTCAAAGTCAAGTGAGCCTTAAATGATTTTATAACCAGCAATAAAGTCTATGAAGTAAGATCTTCAAAGCAACTACCCCACTGACCAGAAAACAAATCAATAAATAAAAACATTCAGGAACAAGTGTCACTTGGCTGGAAGTTAGAAAAGTGTCACCTGGCCAATCAGCTGTTGTGGTCCAGTTTCACTTTTAATCTACTAATTGGTGTGTCTATTTACATTTGTCTTGGTCAGTCTATGAACTTCATGGCTGACCTGGTATTTGAAAACACTTGCATATGGGAATTGCTATGATGTTTGCAGGCATCATGATTTAGCAGAAGAATATTTAGTGAACTACATTTCTATCTGCAATTCTCAGCTCAAATGCAGCAAAATGACTTAGTTTTTAAAAGAAAGATAACGAGTAATGAAAAATGAATTGCTTACAATATTGTGGAATAGAAAACGTCTTGGGATAAATGAAATGTTGTTGGTTTGCATCAGAAGAAAGTGATGGGATTAGAAAGGCATTGTGAATTATGAGTTCCTTCCGCAAAATCCACAATCCACATTGATTTCAAACAAGTACAATTCCCAGTGGCTTCAATAAAAAGCATCCGTAAGTTGCAAATTGGTAGGGTGCCATTTCCAAACACATCCCTTTGCAGATCTACTACATTAAGCAGACTCATCTGACCTTACACTTTTAAATTAACACTTATTTCAATTTCTACAAAATTCCCTTAATGGGATAACTTTAATTCTCTGGAAGCTTGTAAAAACCTCTTAGACCAGTTCAGGACCCAGAAAGATGCCAAGTTCTGTGAGGATGGAATCATGAAGAGGGCTAAAGTGAATAGAACAAAATGGTAAGTGATGTCATTGAATAAATCTCTGTACAAATATCAAAATTCCGTGTATGAAATTCACTTAAAAAACACTATGCACTTTTTGTTCCGATATCATTCTTCATGAGGTATCCTATAAGTAAAGAAGAGTTACAGGGTCGATATCTTCAAACTTCAACCCTTTCATATGTTGATTATATTGACCTTTCAGGAATATCCAATCTTTCTTCTTCAACCAAACATTTTACAGGTGAAATGTAATCGTAAGTTCTATAGTAACAGTTTCTTTGCCAAACAAGTTTGATCTTCAAAAATGTAAATGCAATGTCAATCTTCTGCCTTTGTAATTCCTGTTGTTTTATTGTTCTCGTTCCAGAATAATGTTTTTTTTTTCTTATATTCTTTTAGACTCAGTAACTGCTGTGGCTTTGTTGCTTTGCTTGGGGTGAAATGATTAAAAAAAAAAAGTCTTTGTCTCATGCTTTTTATTGAGATCATTGCTCTGTTGAAATATTTGGCACTTGTGCCTCATGGCAAATCTTCTTCTAAACTTGCACAAAGTTCATAGTTCTTTCATTGCAGTGAATATTCTCCCATATATATATATATATATATAATCTAGTGTGGTGGCTAAATTGTCGCCATTTTATATTTTTAATTTCATGCATGTGCTTTGTTTGTTTTTGATTTTGTTGACTGCACAGTATAGTAGGGTACAGTCTGTGAGAAAAAGAGCACCACGATGCAAATCACTTTGCCAGAAATTCAGAAATGCCATGCTGTACTGCTTGGCATTTATGTTGGAAGCTACCATATGAACATTTCAGAGTGTTTGGGTGTCAAACTGGGGACAATGCAGAGGATTCAGAAAGAGTTGGATGAGTCCAATGGTGATTACAAACGTACAGCAGCTCGGAAAACTTACTCTGATCATCCGAATAAGAAAAGAACTCCTGAATTTCTTGGTGAGATCCAGGCCATGATTGACAAAGATCCCTCCAAATCAATCAGGTCCATAGCCAGGGCCACAGGAATGTCCGAGTTTCTTATCAGGCAGGTAATGCATGAAGACATTTGGTATTTCCCATACAAGATGAGAAAGGGCCAATTTTTACCCCAAGCCATGAAGGACAAGAAGAAAGACTTCATTATGAAGCTTTTGAACAAACTCAAGCAAACATGCTTTGGTTTATCTTAGACAAGAAAAATGTCTGCCAGGATAAGATGGTGACCAGACAGAACAACTGTTAGCTTGCTGTGTCCCTAAACGATGTACCGAGAGTGATGAAAACCAAATATCCAGTCAACATTGTTAGTGATGGCGACATTATATCTCCATTCATCTTTCCGCAGGGCTTCAGACTCAACACACAGGCCTACACCAAGTGCCTTTTAGTACTGCCCTGGGTCAAGAGTGGCTGCTGGAAAACCCTATGTTTGGCAACAGGACTCTGAACCATGCCACACAAGCAGGAGAACCCAGTCATGGCTGTCAGACAATTTCTGCGACCACATCACCCCTTTACATCTGGCCACCTAACTCCCCAGACTGCAACCCCCTTGATTATTATGTGTGGGCACAATTGAGCGAGAGATCAACAAAACTCTTTGTAACATGAAAGACGAACTGAAGGCAAGGATTATTGCAGCATTCACCAACTTAAACAAGGAGACTGTCCAGAAGATATGCAGGAGATCATGAAGTTGTCTGGAGGCTGTGGTTGAAGCCAATGACAATTTTATTGAATGAATTTACTCTTTAGTATTTCAAGATATTTTTTGTGTAATTTTGGTAAATATATCTGTTAAAATGAAATGTCAGTGTTATTTTAATTTTTGTGTAATTTAGGTGGCAATTTATCCATTCCATGCTTCATGTGTGTATATATATTTGAAAATTTTATTAATGGTACAAAACTTATTTTTAATATTACTACACATAACAATTAAAAAATTAAAAACTGGCTAGCTAACCAATTTCAAACCTTCTGTTTGCAAAGGTTTCATAAATAAAATACATATAACTTCCGATATTTTTAGGTTGTAATTAGAGTGGGACTTGCTTAAGATGGAAAACGAGTCCACATTTTATTGATAATGTATACCTATTTATTAACCTTGATTTATGTTTGGTGAGTGAGGTTTGAAACATGGCTAGCTAGCTTGTTTTCATTTTTTTCTTTTAATTGTTATGTGCGGTAATATTAAAAATATATAATTATTATAGTAATGGTATTGTTAACTGTTTCCTTATAAAAAAGTAATTTGGTATTTGTGGACTGAGCAGCCAGTGATATAGTCGGTTGAAATAGTTTTCTCAAGTCTGGTAGCTGTTATTGCTGTTTTCAGTAATCATGGGGGTTTCCTTACTAACCTTTTGTTCAAAGTAATGTAGAACATCAGCATCTTGATTATGTCATTATTTTCACTTTGGGTTAAATGTGGTATCCATTTTAGTTGTGGCTGCCGTTGAAAGTCCTCCAGTGATGTTGTTTCTGTTATTTGGAACAAATCTTTGTTTATGATTTAGTAGCATCAGTTCACAAGATTTAAGGAAGTCCTCGCTAAAGACCTACAGGATTCATTCCCTCAAAGCCATTTTTAATCATTGACCTGAGAAAGTGGTTGTCTACCGCTGACAGGTTAGATATTTTCTGAACAGGTTTGGCGCTATGCATGACATCTATGTGAAAGTATCAATTTGATGAGGCTATTGAAGAACACAACCCAAGTTTTTAGTGTGTGTGTGTGTGTGTGTGTGTGTGTGTGTGTATATATATATATATATATTATCAGTAGAGCCCGGCGTTGCCTGGGGATGTAACAGTAAGAGATAGATAAAGTATCGACCATCATAAAGACTGAAAAATAAAATTGACAAAGATTATTGTTTAAGGTTGATGGACACGCATGTCTTAATTATTTTTTTTTTTTTATGAATTGGTCAAACCCAAACTCAAACAAAAACATTGTTTTCAATCGTTATGGACCTACCGATTGAATAGAATTTTATTATAAACAATTGTCTTGTAAATGGAATTTTTAAAGCATTCTGAATTTAAAAATAAAGAAAAAAGTGTGCAAGACAATAAGAAACACTACCTGCCAAAAAAAAAGTGAAGTTTTGTTGAAATCGGTTGAAAAATGTAGGAAATCCGATCCCATATATAAATGAACACGCACACACAAACAACCTGGGTTTCATAATAAGTATAACTTGATATGAGTTGTTCCCCTTTCATTCTCATGATGCCTCTTAATCGTGTTTTCAAATTGCTTTCGTGCAAAAACAATTGTGCTTTTCCAATATTTGGCGCTGTTAGAACCACCGCAAGGTAATTTTATGTAGTCCTGTGAAGTTTTGTTGAAATTGGTTGAAAAATGTAGGAAATCCAATCCAATATATAAACGTACAGACACACACACACACACACACACACAATCTGCGTTTTATAATAAGTAAGATATGCATGCACACACACATAACATACACTATCCTACATCCATAATGTATGTATGTATGTATGTATGTCTGTCTGTAACAGTTATTAAAACAGAAAGTGAAATTGCCAAGCCAAGTTCAAATTCCAATTCTGCATCCACTCCAGGCTAATGCGAGATGAAGCCCACCTTGTCTGCTAGGAAACTTCTCTTAAAACCCACTAGGTGGTGTGCTATGAAGCTGTATTAAGGCCTTTTCTTCACTTTTTGTTCTCTTTACCCACAGGTTGCTGTAGTGACAGAATGAGACCATCTTTTTATACAACATGCATATGTATCAGGCATACTCCAGCTAATCATATAATCTTTTTCTGAACAATGTTGTTGTATGTATATATATATATAAATTCATTTATTATTAAAGTTTTCAATTGAATGTCATTACAATTGATAACACAACATTGTTACCCTAATGTTTATGGCAAAGGCAGGAAGCCTTCTTCCGTCAGTGATGAAATAAATAGCAGAGCAAATTGGGCTCCCCTCACTTGGTTGGCAAACCCATTGAGATGAAGGAAAACTTTTAATTGAAAACCTGAGGAGGGCCATTTTGAGACTTTGTGGCACACTGTGTAATATTTCTTTGTTATCGGTTCTTTTGAAAAAAAAAAAAAACAAGCCTTCCCCATTATAATCAATTCATATGCATGACTAATCTGCAAGTTCAGCTATGGAAGGCATTTTGACATTGAAATCCACAGGAGAGTCAACTATATATAATTTTAAGGACTGTGAGACACCATTAATGTCATATTCTTAAAAAGCCCATAAGTTATGAGAATTGTGAATCAAAAATTGCTTTGAAAATTGTGAGCAACATAAACACACACAAATATCACACTTACTTTTTGTTGCTATATAAAAAAAAAAAAAAAAAAAAAAAATCAAACTTAGCAATGTTTATCCTTTGTATTCACAAAAAATGGTATCAAAAGGACAGTTATTTCCTTGACACTGCTATTACTGTATACACTTTTGACTCCCTTGACAATGTTTATTTACAAGATTATAAAAATATCTGAACACAGTACAATGTGATATTTATTATTTACTTTTTTTTATTAAGAAATAAACTTGAAAAGAAAACTTTATTTAAAGATTTATAAAAAAAAAAATTACTGAATTATGAAAATCTGTAAACCAACAATACAATATTTATTATTTACCATTTTATAAATAACAATGAAAATAAATTTCTTATTCAATCTAATAAATAGCATTTATTATTTTTGTTGTAAATTCTGAAGAATAAAGAAAACTTTCATATGTTTGGATTTTATTAAAATTCCAACCATCACTTTTTAAAAACAAACATTGCAGTAATAGTAGTGTCAAGGGAATAACCATACTTTTGAGACAGCCTTTATTTATGTGCATAAAAGTTAAACACTGCTAAAAACTTGTACTTTCATGGAAAGAAAAAAAGCTTCTTTTGATGCAGGGATATTCATAAGCCAGGAATGCAATGAGAGTGGCAATGTGTGTGCAAACCGTGGCAGTGGATGAAATGTGATTGTCTCACCTGGTTTCTGTATAACTTGATAAGGCAAGCCTTAACACCTTGTAGTAAATGTCTGTTGATAAAATCATAATGAAAATCAATCGTCTCCTCTGGCGTGCCCATAAAAAATACCTTAAAAGAAACAAAAACAAACCTTCAAAACAATGAGAAAAAAAGAATAAGTTTTGACAAGACTCATCATCATTCTAAAATTGGTTTCAACAACTGAATGCAGTAGAAGTTTTTTTAGTGACAGTGATTGTGGTGAATGTGGATCCCATGTTGCCAAAATGAAATGCTGCTGTTCACTCTTTTCGTATATTAGGTTGAGTCATAATTTCTGTTTATCAAATTTATTCTTCAAAAAAATAAAGTACAATAATATTTTCTTTAAGTATCTATTCACCATTATTTGCAATGTCTTGAGGCCACTTATCAGGTAGCTCCTCAATATCTTTGAGTAAAATTCCGCACGTTTTGATATGAAAACAAATGCTTGAATCTGGTTTTCGTTAGAGAATTTTTTCCCCATCAAATCCTTTTGCAGGGATCTCAAGTGGCAATAATCAGTTGGTGCAAAAGATCAGGTGAATATAGTGTGTAGGGGGGGGAAAACAGATCAAACCAAGTTCCAAAACATTTTCCTGCTTTATTTTTGCTGTGTTTTTTGCCTTGTGTTGTCACAAGAACAGTTTCCCTTTAAACTCTATGAATTTAAATGCAATACTAGATTGGTGGTTAGGTCTCATCATTTTACACTTGAACTGGCTAGATGTAAATTCTATAATAACAGTTTCTTGACTTCATGTAGAACTCTTCTGACTTTTTGCTTTCTAGTTAAACTTTGATCTTCAAAAATTTAAATGCAATGTCAATCATTATCTTCTGTCTTCTTGATCTTTTATTGTTCTTGCTCCTTAAAATAATGTTTTTCTTTTTCTTATATTTTTTCACTGTGACTTAGTAGCTTTATTGCCTAGCTTGGGGTGAAATGATTTAAAAAAAAAAATCTGCTCTGTATGCAGCAATCACCAGGCAAAAAAAAAAAAAAAAAGGAATGTTAGCGTAAACCAAATTTATTAACTGCCAAATATGATTAAAAGTTAGGATGATGTATTTTGTATTTGTCAATATAAATGGTTCCCAAAAACAGAAATTACTTACAACTTAACCATAATAAATGCACGTGTGTGTGTGTGTATATATATATATATATATATCTCACTGAAAATAATATTAAAATAGATACTAACTAAACACCTTAAATAATTTAATTTTATATTTTCCTTAATAACTAAGTAATATTATCATGAATTATAATCTGAAATATTCACTAGTATTTTATTGTACATTGTTTTATTTTTCTCAACAGGACTTTCTTTTAACATATTTTCATTTTACATATTTCTGATGTACAAATCTTGTTGATTAGTTCAGAAATATTTATTTTACTATCTGTTTAAATTTTTCAATGTTTCTAAGTAGCAAAGTTGCTGTGGTTAATGATTTTTCCTTAAATTTTTCCAGTTGTTTTGAAAATGGTCATCATGTGCATAAAAAAAAAAGAAAAAAAAAGGAATTTAAACATCTAACTGGTTTTTACAAATCCCATATTTACATACATTAACTATTTGATACCAATCATATATATAAAAACATAAAAAATAATGTTGGATTAAAATACAACATCTACCCTATATATATATAGTAGATATTAGATTTTAATCCAACATTGTTTTTTTACTATAAATGTTACTTTTTAGTGGATACATGTGTTCAAGTGGACACCTCCATTTTTTTTTATTAATTATTATAAATTAGTTTATAGTAATAAACGATAATTATTTCTAATAATTAAAAATGTCAGATTAAAATTCATTAACAAAAAGACAATTTATTAAGAGCTATATGTTTTTGATTCATCATTCATTGATTTTCTAGCATTTATCATCCCTTTGCAGGTTATTTAAAGCCAGAAAATATTTTTTGATTGTAAGAATTCCTCTTTTTTTTTTTTAAAAAGATAATAATGGTATAGTGATAAAAGTCTTACTAATTAACCCATAGCTAGAGGTAGAAGAGGTGGATTCATACCTTTCCCAAGGGTATTTGCATGCAAGTGAATATAATGAACCTGACTGGAATTGGAACTCAGCTCTCCAATTAACAATTCCAAGCCATTATTCATTACACTATTTGCACATCTAAGCCTACAGCACCTGGTATTCCCAAGTGGTCAGACATCTAGATACTGACCATGCTTGATGTTGCTTAACTTTGGTGATCATACGTGAAGTGGTGTTTCAACATGATGTGATCATAAATCTTAAGAGTTACAAAGGATAACAAATTGTGTAAAGCCATGATCCCCAACATCCTGATGAGACATGGCACATAGAAGAACTACTTAAAATAACTGCGTTTACATTTTTATTTGAAAATATAAACTAGCAGATTAAACATATTGAATGTAGTGGTAACTTTGCTGTAGAGACCTCTGTGGTTGAATGGTTAAAGTACACCTAGCTTAAAGGTGATTTTTCCAGGATAAATGTTTCATTTAACATAATATTTCTAGTTACATATATTGCATTAAATATGACAGACCAGCAATACTTGTCAAGTATTTTATTTCATTTTTTTTTTTTTTGAAGACTAATATAGAGAAATTGTCCATGGTGTCCTGAGCACTTTCAACTTTTAAGGGGAGTTCCTTTTCATGGTCATGTTTAAGTACCTGATGTGCTGCCTACTGCACTACTAAGACAACTCAGTAATTAGCATTGTTAATGTATTTTTGTTTTGTTTTCTTGTGTGAGAAGCATTTTTGTAGTCCCCACAAACTCAGTCCTCAAAAGATTGATTTGTTTTTTATGGCTTATCAACCTTTTTGAGGTTATTTAAAGCTGAAACATAGTTTTGGATTATAAGAATTTTTTGAGATGATAATGATTTTCTGAGGTAAATCTTACTATTTAGCCCATAGCTGGGATGATTGTTGGTGGATTCATACCTTCCCTAACAGTATTTGCACCTAAGTGAATATAATGAACTTGACTGGAATTCGAACTTTCTCATTCTAAGCCTTTATCCATTACATCACTCATATATCTAAGCTTACAGTACCTGGTATTCCGAAGCAGTCACCCATCTAGGTACTGACCAGGTTCAGCATAGCTTAACCTGTTGTTTCAACAAGTCCTCAAAAGAGAAAAATTGTAAGGATACAAGAAAAATTAAATAAAAAATTTACAAGGGATTCCTTGTCTTTCATATTTAACAAAACATGTATAAAGGATTGCTGCCCATATATATATATATATATATATATATAGGGTATGATGAAAAAAATTGTCGCCATTTTATATTTTTTAATTTTGCATATGCATGTTGTTTGTTTTTGATTTTGTTGACTGCACAATATAGTAGGGTCAGTTGGACATCATCTGTGATAAAAAGAGCACCATGATGCAATTCAATCCACCAGAAGTTTGGAAACAGCATGCTGTACTGCTTCACATTTGAGCTGGAAGCTCTAATATGAACATTTCAGAATATTTGGGTGTCAATCTGAGGACAAAGCGGAGAATTTGGAGATGGCGATGTTATGCCTCTATTCATCTTCCAGACTCAACACAGAAACCTATATCAACTGCCTTGAGGAGGTAGTGCAGGCCTGGGTCAAGCGGATGTCTGCTGGAAGACACTATGTCTGGCAACAGGACACTGTACCATGCTACACAAGCAAGAGAACCCAGTCCTAGCAGTCAGACAATTTTTGCAACCACATCACCCCTTACATCTGACCACCTAACTCTCCAGACTTCAACCTCCTTGATTATTATTTGTCGGGTGCAGGTAAGCGAGAGACCAACAAAACTCTTTGTAACATCAAAAAAATGGATTATGGCAGCATTCGCCAATTTTGTTTTACAGCATATCAACCTCAATGGGTTATTTAATGCTGACAACATTTTTAGGATAGATTCGTATGAATAGAATATGTATTGATTGGTTTGGTTTATTTTGTTTTACGGCATATCAACATCAATGGGTTATTTAATACTGGCAACATTTTTTATTGCTGGTAATATTTTGTTTTGTCAAAAATCTGTTTCTGGTAATATTTTTCCTTCAAAATTGTATTGCTGGTAATAATTTAAAAAAAAAATATTGCTGGTAATAGTTAACTATTTGCCCATAGCTGGGACCCTAACAGGTGCTACCACCCTGGGTCAGGGTGGACCCGGGTACACCGGCAATTAAGAGGTGGTTCCACGCTCCTCAAAACCTCCTGATCAGAGGCCTTGCTGCTGGATGTAGTTTATCGTCTTACCCAGGACGCAGATGTAGTTTAATGTCTTACCCAGGACGATGTTAAAATGAGATGTCAGTGTTATTTTCATTTTTTGTGTAATTTAGGTGACAATTCATCCATCGCACCCTGCATATGTTCTTACCTCTGCAGAATTAGAATCTGATGGTGTGACAATATCACAACTTCCTGAGGAGATACTGCTTAAGTCAGTAGAGAGGTGGAGGCTGCTCAGTGTGGCCCCAGAAGAAGGCAATGTGTCAGATCCTTTATCACCTGCACAAAAAAAAAAAAAAATAGAGATGTTTAAGTGACTGGAACCGAATGAAATAGTTAAGGACTCATTGATGATATGGATTGATAGTAGAGAGGGCGCTTTCTTTTCTGTGATCCACAGAACTTATTTCTCCTCATTTAGAGTAGACAAGCTTTCTGTTGAGGTCAGTTTGCAAGAAAGTTAAGAAACATTTGCATGAAATGATGAAAGAGATTTGAGAGTGTACGTGTCGTGTCTGTCTCTAAAATTATGCAAGTGTTTAAGTTAAACTCACAGAGCTAAGGACATTTAATTCATCTGAGAACTTTTCAGGACATATTCATAAGTAGATTTCTTGGTGAGAAAGCTTAACAGATTCCAGTTCAGAAGGGCTAGTAATCAGGCAGATACTACACTCTGATCCTAGTTGGAAAAGCATAACTGCCATACATACAAACAAGCAAAACAGCCCAGTGTTTTTTTTTTTTTGCAACAAACATGTATATATATCAATTGGCAAACTCCTGCTTCAAACCATAAATAAGAATATTTTCGGGAATTATTAAAATATAACAATTATTTTTGATTCTCTTTGTAAACAGCAAACAAAAAAAAAAAAAAAAAAAAAAAAAACAAAAAAAAAACACCATGGAATTTCTATAGAGTTGACAAGAAGAAAGTAAAATAAAAGTACTGTCTCCAAAAAAAGTTAACTTACAAGACAGATCTGAGTTTTCTTCTGCTACCAAGGAATGTTTTGGAGAATTCTTCTTAAGGGTCACAGCTGAGGGGCCAGGTCTTTTTCTGGCCACCACCATCTCAGCATCCTGATGACCTTTGTCATCAATATCACAACTTTTAAAACTGTTCGATCGGCAAAGTTTATGAGAAGGCTTCCGAGGCACATAGCCAGGCCAGGGTTGTATGTATTTGGGCTGGGTGACAGTTGTTGGGGATGAGGGATTTGGCACTATGGGAATAAAGGTTGCCTGTCTTTGGCTGTCATTGTCCTTTTCTTGTTGGTCAATACTGGTACTTGGTTCACATGGCTGATGGATTGGTGTTGAAGTAATATTTGGTGGAAGGTCAGCACTTTGAGTCAAAGGGAAGGAAATATGGACTGCACTGTCATTAGGCAAGACAAAATCAGTAATCTGTAAAAGAGAAACAATCATTATCATAATATTCAGTTCTTTGGAACATAAATTGGAGTAGAGAGGCCTTGTGCCAGACTAAGCTAAGAGTAGTAAATATTGATTTAGTGTTTTTGATAGGACATTGTTAGTGAGTTTCACCTTTACTGAGTGCTCCACTATTGAGGCCTTGTATCAGACTAAGCTAAAAGTAGTAAATATTGATTTAGAGCAATGGTTATCAAGATTTTCTTCACAGGACATTGGTAATGAGTTTCACCTTATTGAGTGCCCCACTATTGAGGCATTATGTCAGACTAAGCTAAGTGTAGATTTAGGGATGTCTCTGGTAGAGCAATGGTTAGCAGGTTTATTTCAAGGGACATTATTAGTGAGTTTGATCCTGAGTGCTCCACTATTGAGGCTTTGTGCCAAACTAAGTTAAGTGTAGTAAGTTCTACTTAGTTTAGGGTAGCTCAATGGTTAGCATGTTTGTTTTACAGGGCACTGTTACCGAGTTTGGGTTCTGAATGCTCTATTGCTCTGGCCTTGTGTCAGTCTATGCTAAGCCTACTAAATATCCATTTAGTTGCTTGCAGTAGAGCAATGGTTAACAGAGTATTGTTAGTGTGTTTGTTCTCAAGAGTCCTGTTACTGAGGCCTTGTGCCAAACTATGAAACTATGTAAAGCCTAGGGAATATCTACAGGGTGGTCCGAAAGTCTTGTCACCCTCCACCAAAAAGTAATGAGAACAGTAGCACAAGTAATACAGTCATACAAAGCACATGTACTGGATTCAGTTTTATTCACTTTCATTGATGCTGTCATACATCGAGAAGGTCTGTATGAACATCATCATTTTCATGGTACAAAATAATGCGTTATCATATCTTGTGTGATATTTTACAAAGCTGTGATTGGTTGATTGTTGCAAAGGCTGCCTGTAATGGCGTCCTTCAACTAATGGATATTATGGTGTTGTTTGTGTGAAACTCTCTCCTTGATAATACCCCACAGAGTGTTGTAATAGAAAATTAGATTGTCTAGGTGAGAGGGCCTTTAGACCACCCTGTACTTGGGATTTCTAAGTAGATCAATGGTCAGCAGTTTTTTCTCATAGGACATTGAGTTTGATCCTTACTGAGTGCTTCAATGTTGAGGTGTTGTCTGAATTTCTTAGATGATGCACTGTCAATTTTATTACTTATAGAATAGTATTTCATTAAGGAGGCACAGTGGAGTAATGGATTGAGGAATTGGTATGCTGAGTTTGAATTCCAATGGAGTTCATTACACCCACTTATATGCTAATATCCTTGGGAAAGGTATGAATCCACTTCTCCTCCTCCCAGCTATGGGTTAAATAACAGGAAACTCTGGGTGGCAACCAAAGAGAAGGAAACTGAATTGCCTTGTAGGTCCTGCTTCTTTTGGCAAAGGCTAGAAAATAGTAACTTCAAAAACAAATCCACCTCGCAAAGAGGAGAGACAGAGTTATCTCAATATCCCTGATGCAAAAGGAACCAGCAAGCGATTACACTATTCTGTCTTGAATGGCACCATGAATCACAATTGTGAGATGGAGGAGAGTGGTGACCACATCGGCCTAAAATGCACTAACTCAATAAAATGGATGAAATGATTTTGTTAATCTTATTTCTCTAGAAAAATATTACTAGTCTTATATTGAATTTCTTAGATGATGCACTTTCACAAATTTTGTTGGGATTGGAATAAGTGGCAATCCAAAGATGCAAAGTCAAGTGAGTATGGCAGGTGTAGCAGGACATCTCAACCAAGCTGTAACAAATTCTGCCAGATTTGCACAGAGACAGTACTTGTCTGAATTCAATGTCTAATTTTGGGGAAAGAGCTAGTAATACTCAATGTCTTCCTAATCCTTCTAGATTCCATAGGAGTAGATAGGTTCATCTATCACACTCCTTCCTAGTCATTTGAACAGAAGGGTGGGGGTTTATCCCTTGTTTCCTTCTTCAAAAGTCTTTCCATTCTCTCTCACTCCCAGTAACCCCTTGCATCTTAGTGGCATTATCACCTTGCTTGGGAGGAGGAGGAGGAATAATAATAATAATAATAATGATAATAATAATAATAGTCATCGTCAGATGTAGAGTGGCATTTGGAGTAGTTAATGTTGGCTCATTTCCTTTTTCCCTGGACCTTTTATACCCCAGTCTTGTAAACAATCTATTTTTCATTGCCTGTGGTTGTTCTTTTCCAAAATGTAACATTTTTATTGCATTTGAGCAGAGAATGCGGATGAAAATATGGTCTATTACTTTTTTCCACATTAAATTATGAGGCTCCCAAACATCATAAAAATAAATATATTCAATTGTTTCCAGTTATGAGGGTTGACTGGAAAGTTCATTGGTTGACCAAGATATACATGTAAGTAGACACCCCAGTTGGTAGACTAAATACATGCGAATGTATCCAAATTATCTGTTGTATTCTGGGAAAAATTTTAATCTACAAGATTGCAAACATTCTAGCATACCTGCAGTAGTTGATGATGACCAAATTGAAATGTTGATTAAAATAATCCAGATAAGATACAAAAATTGTCTGGTCAGCCTATGAACTTTCTAGTCAACCTTCATACCTTACAACACTCATATGAGATATGTGGAGTATCTTTGTGGTGTCATGTGACTGGGATTATTTTTAATCAACATTTTAATTAGCAGGTCTGCTGGACTGTTTGTCAGTCTTCCAGATTAAAATTTCCCAAGCTTGGAACCTAGCAAATCACTTATGAACATACTCTCGGCTATGGCACCATCTCCATAAATGGCACATATCTTCTTTGCTGTTACTACAGAGTTTTTTTCTTTCCAGAAATAAAAGAGCATCAAATGACGAAAATGTATTTCATTTTCCTCCATTTTCACTTTTAATGTAAATTTAAAAAAAAAAAAATTCACAATCCACATATGAATTGTATGGAAAGACTTTTTAAAATATCACCTTTCAGAATATGCATATACGTGTGAAAAGAAAGCATATTTTCAAATGTCACCTACTGAAAAATGCTATAAACTTTTCTTCCAGTTCAATATTTGCTTTACAATTTTTGCTTGAATCATTGTTAATTTATTTATAATATATTGTAAGATCTACCTAGTGTAAAGTATATATCACACTACACACCCCAAAACCAAATTATTAATGCTTCATCCACTTTAAAAGATGAAAAGGGGTAAAGGAGTAATAAAACTAAAAACAGCAAACTTGTGGGTCTTTCTTGTCTCTATCACTTTCCCTTTTCTTTAGCTTTCTTAATTAGCCTTTAACTTTCCTTATTCAAATCTTTTATTCCTTTTCCTCTTTTTCACTTTTCCCATTTGATGGCTATACTGCATATGTGGGAGTGTAACACTTTTCAAGGAATGCATATACATTGTTAATGGTGATGGCAAAATTAGCTGTTTCCTTATAAGGAAACATTCAGCATTCATTGACTGCACAGTTAGTGTTATTGTCAGTTGAAATTAATGAAAACATTAAAAGTTTTTCAGTAAATGAATCACATGTCCACTAAATGTTATAGCTCTTTCAAATATTGATGGGAGTTTCCTTCCAAACCTTTTCTTCTGGTTATGAACCAGATCCTAGGAAGAAGTACCAAGGAGAGACACTTTTATCCTAAGCAAGAGCACAGATTCTTATGTAAATAATATTGGTATTTTTGATGGTTACTATGCTAGTTAGTCATTTTTTATGAGTATTTTTTCATTTTAATTTCAGTTGCTTTTTATCCCAATTCACTATCACTGAGCAGTATGATTCAGAAATAAAGAATAAGCCTTTAGAGAGGCTTAAACTCACATCCCTCTTTGGGAATTGTATCTTAGTACCTGATTATTTCAGATTATGCCAATGATTGTAGATCAAATCTAACAAGACAGATTTATTATAAAATTTTATTATTAAAACATATTATAAAATACTGATTTCTTGAGATTAAAGAAATACTAGTTTACTGATGTTTGTACAGATGGGTGAATAGTGTAGTGGTTATAGGCAGGAAAATGGAATTAGAATGTAGAGTTCAAATTCCAGCAGAGGCCATTGCATTCACTTTTGCACAAATACCCTTGGAAAATATTAATACATTGTCTAGAAGTCAATAGCAGGAGAGGTTAAGTTTTCTAGGTTTGCTTAGCAAGCAGACTAGATGGACAAGTCAGAATTTAAAATATGAGGCTGGTAGCTCCATCCTGTAAAAACCTATTTGCTATGGAAACCACAGCAACAACACCTAGTGTAGAGTGGCTGTGGTCTTATACGCCAACAGAGCAATCGACAGGGTTAATAATGATAACAACAATGGCTGTGGCATGATGGTCTGTGTAGTGGTTGATCAAAAGAAACTGACATTAATTTAAGAGAAACATGGATCAAATATTAATAATAAATTTATTGGTGTACTTTAAAAAATTTAATAATGTAACATTAGTTATTTATATCTAATATATAATATTGCAAATGTTGGTTAGGTTTATACACAAAGTAACATCTAAAGTTTGCTTGGCTTTATGTCGGAGTCTTTACACAAACATCAGTCGGCTTTATGCCTGATTTTATACGCAAATGCTGGTTGGGTTATGCCCAAGTCTATAGGCAAGCATCGTTCGGGTTTTTGCCTGAGTCTATATGCAAGTGTCAATTGGGTTTATGTCAGAGTTAATACGTGAACATTGGCCAGGTCTATACCTAAATATTGTTTGTGTTTTTTTTCCCAAGTTTATATGTGAATGTTGATTGGGTTTATGCCCGTGTCTTTACAAAAACATCAGTCAGCTTTATGCCAGAGTCTATACATGAATGTCAGTTAGGATTATGCTCAAGTCAATATGAAAATGTTGGTCATATATACATGAACACTGATTGGATTTACACCTATGTCTATATGTGTATGTTGGTTGGGTTTATAACTAAGTCTTTGCACAAATGTTGATTGGGTTTATGCCTGAGTCTATACATGCAAACATTCTTCAAGTTTATACCTTGAGTCTATATGTGAAGGTTGGTCAGGTTTATGCCAGAGTTTATATGCAAATATCAGTCAGATTTATATCAGAGTCTATATGCAAACATTGGTCAAGTTTATGCCAAGTCTATATATGAAGGTTGGTCAGGTTTATGACACAGTCTATATACAATATCGGTTGGATTTATGCCCGAGTCTATATGCAAACATTGGTCAAGTTTATGCCAAGTCTATATATGAAGGTTGGTCAGGTTTATGACACAGTCTATATACAATATCGGTTGGATTTATGCCCGAGTCTATATGCAAACATTGGTCAAGTTTATGCCAAGTCTATATATGAAGGTTGGTCAGGTTTATGACACAGTCTATATACAATATCGGTTGGATTTATGCCCGAGTCTATATGCAAACATTGGTCAGGTTTATGCCAAGTCTATATATGAAGATTGGTCAGGTTTATGACACAGTCTATATACAATATCGGTTGGATTTATGCCCGAGTCTATATGCAAACATTGGTCAAGTTTATGCCAAGTCTATATATGAAGGTTGGTCAGGTTTATGACACAGTCTATACACAATATCGGTTGGATTTATGCCCGAGTCTATATGCAAACATTGGTCAAGTTTATGCCAAAATCTAAATGCAAACATTGCCCTTATTGATTGGGGAGGTTCTTACCACTGTAGTAAATCTATTTAAATTCATGTCAAAAGGGTAATTAGAAAAATAGTGTATTCACCAAAATGATAATTTTTTTTATATAAAAGCTTGTAAATTTAACAACAATATCAAATTAGTGGTTGTTCAGACCTGAAGCAGAGTTTGGGATGATCTAATTTGCAGCTGTTGGTCCTGCGGAAGTTGTGATAAACTTCTTTCTAATATTTCAGACTGTGGTAATAAAATTTCTTCTACTCTTTCTGGCCTTGATTGTAGTGGTACCTCATCTTGTGGTAACATTTGAGATGGAGGAAGTGCTTCCAGCTGCATCTGTGAAGGTTGTACATCTTGTATCATCTCTTCAGGTTGATATTCCATCTCAGGTTCCCTCTGTGAGGACTGTACCTCATCTTCAATCACCTGGGGCTGATTTAATGTTTTGGCCTGTGCCTGTGCATCGTCCATCACATCTTCAATTCTTTCACATTGCTGTGAGGGTTTTTCTCCTGGTGCTAATGCTGATTGTCTTACTTCTCCCTGTACCTCTGCTGACTGTTGTTCAGCAATTTCCACGTTCATTGCCAGCTGTGCCTCTGGTAATTCTTGCTCTGATGCCAATGAGGAATGGACAGATTCTTGTTGATGATGGGGTTGCAGTGTTTGTTGAATGCAATCTTGAAAATTATTCTCCGATGATCCTTGGTGTGCTGACTTTTGTTTCTGCAAGTCTTGGGATTCTGCCAATGGTGCCAAGGAATCTGATGCTGATTCTTGGCTCTTGGAGATGGTTACATGAAGGGAATTCATTCTGAAAAGGGAAAGAGGCAAAAAATGAGAGAATTGGGATTTTATATATTATATCAATCAAGGTTTTATTTGGGCTGATATTTTTTATGCTTTTTTTCCAGACTAACATCCTCATCAACTGGCTAAAAATAAAAGGAAAAACATGGAAAAATAATAATCTGGTGATAATCAGATACTTTTCAGTGAAATGTTTAAAAATACTTTTTGAAATTTAAAGAAAACTGGAGAAAAAAAAATTCACCTGAAGACCAAAACGTTGTGATGAAGACATTAGTGTGACTATAAATGAAAAAAAAAAAAAATTTTGAATGTTGCCAAATTTTTTGTTTTGTCCTTCTCTATCGCATTATAAATATTTTTCCATCTACATGCATGGAGGCAGAGGTGTCATATTATATGATGTTAGAGAATAGTTCAAAAAAGTGAAATTCAGTAAAGATTTATTGTCATCGAAAAAATCGATTAACTCATTACTATGAATTTTTAAAAAAATATTAATGACTAATTTATTCAGTATTTAAAAATTAGTGTTAATATCGGGTTTTTCTTGTAATCAACGCCAAGCTATCTATAATCTAAGGGAGACAATTTCCTTTAAATTAAGGGGAGATAATTACTGCAAATATATGCAGTTGGTTTTTAAACCGTGTCAACCGTGAATTCAGGCTACTAAATTTTAAATCGACTTTTTTCTCATTAGTTGCCTAAAAAGCTGTTTTTAAATTTTTTGCAGAGGTTGCAGCTCGTATATTCCAGGCCTTAAAGCAGTCTTTATAACAGTTTTGATTGCAATGTGACATGCTATAGGTGATTTCCTCAGTATACTATAATGGTTAGTGAGCTACTCTGGTTGTTCAATATTCACTGGCTGTCCCATACTTGTGATTTTATGCCAAACTAAGCCAACATACACCACAGGCACCAGAGCTTTAATTTCTTGGGATTGGATTTTTCTTGGATTCTTTGCTTACTGCAATCTTAAGTGCTTATTTATTTCTCTATCTCTCTGCTAGACATTCACGAGCAGAGATTTTATCTTTAACTTACATGGAAACCATCAAACGGTTATCTTTATCTCTACAAACTACCGTTGATATGATCATCGTTCATGAAACCTGTGTGAATCCTGTTTGATTAATGTGGCCTACAGTATTTGTTACACCATTAATTTTCTTAGATGATAGCTGCCACTTTTAGTGCATGAAATGTGTATGCAAATGTAACTTAGTGAGACAAAGAGAGATAGATAATAAATGGATAAATAACTGAAAGATATTGGTTGACTTACTGTGAATCTGGCTGAGGCAGGGTTTCTTGGCTGTCAAAACTGTCAAACAGATCTTGACTGAAAAAAAGGAGAAGAAAAGTTAAGAAACCTGAGAACATAAAAAAAAATATTTCATGAATAAAGTATCATACTTATTATAAAACCCAGGTTGTGTGTGTGTGTCTGTTCATTTATATATTGGATCGGATTTCCTACATTTTTCAACCGATTTCAACAAAACTTCACAGGACTATGTAAAATTACTTTGCGGTGGTTCTGACAGTGCCAAAAATTGGAAAAACACAATTGTTTTTGCACGAAATCAAGTTGAAAACACGATTAAGAGGCATTAATGAAAGGGGGACAACTCGTATCGAGTTATACTTATTATAAAACCCAGGTTGGTTGGTGTGTGTGTGTTCGTTTATATATGGGATCGATTTCCTACATTTTTCAACCGATTTCAACAAAACTCCACTTTTTTTTTGGCAGGCAGTTTTTCTTATTGTCTTGCACACTTTTTTCTTTATTTTTACATTCAGAATGCTTTAAAAATTCCATTTACAAAACAATTGTTTATAATAAAATTCTATTCAATCGGTAGACTCATAACGATTGAAAACAATGTTTTTGTTTGAGTTTGACCAATTCATAAACCCCCCCAAAAAAAAAACTAATTAAGACATGCATGTCAATTTTATTTTTCAGTCTTTATGATGGTCGATACTTGATCTATCTCTTACTGTTACATCCCCGAGCAACGCCGGGCTCTACTGCTAGTTTGTACATAAATAATATGGAAAATTATTAATAACAAATATATTTGTCATTAAAAATTTTCCATATTATTTTGTAAAGAAATGCAGATCATAATAATTGCTAAGAAGGGCAATTTGATGTGGTGCAATGGTTAGCGAGCTTGTTTTGCTAGAATAATTATGACTGAGTAGTGAGTTCGATCCTTATTGGGTGCCTTATACCAAGGGTCAGCAATCTACAGCATGTGTGCCACATGTGGCATGTAGCCACAAATGACATCACAAAGTCTGAACCAATAACTTCTACAATGCAAAAAAGTGTTAGCTGTTCCAATTTTATTATATACTAAAATATATATACTATATATTACTATATAAAATATATTGTAGAATAGGTATATTAACCTTGACTTGTATAAAAATACGTATGCTGTTGGCACATTGAAAGATTTTAAAACATTAAATCATTCAAACATAGTAAAAGGTTGCCGACCACTGCCTTATACTTTCAGTCTTGTGCCACATCTAAACTATGCTTAGAAAATCACTATACAAATTGCTAAGAATTAATTTATTTGGTATGTCTGCATGAGTGAAAAATCACACAATCAAAGTATTGTATTATCTTAGCAAAGTTTTGCTTTAGACTAAAAAGTTTGCATTTGTTAAAATTTGTTTATTATTAAAAAAAATAAATATAATTTATATGATCATTAAGAAGCAATAATAGTAGCCAGAAATGTACCCCAGGATACTAAAATAAAACCATAACTTTTTCAACTTTCAAGTCACTAATTTCAGAAGTTCCTGCACACATTCCTGGTCGTTGTTATTATTATGGCTCTGTTTCAGGGCTCCATATTGGATATACTACAATAAACCATTTGTATATACTAAAGAAAGGAAGATCCTTTGGTATGTGTGGCATACCAAGAGCCATACATCATAAAATATGTACTGTTAACTGACAAACTGCAGCAATTTTAATTCAATCTGCTTAAAATACTACCAGACAATAAACTTCAAAGAGCTTTTTCAAAATACTGATTCATTTTACATATTACAGTTTCTAAGAGAAATTAAACTGATTTCAAAAATATAATTAAAAAAAACAAAAAAACACAATAACCATAACAAACATCAGTCTTACTATTTGAAATAAATGTTTTTTGACTCTTTAAATACAAAATTTTAATTAGAAAAAAAGAACATTAAATTTCGACCCAATTGGTTGATATGCCATAAAACAAACCAAACCAAACTAGGTTTTGGTTTAGTTTCCCATTTTGAGATTCTTGATTCTATAGACATATAGAAGATTTTTGTTTATGTAGACATCTGTTGCTTTCTATTATTTCTTTTCTTTTTACTTGGCCTTGACTGATTCCATTGATTGTTTTGTTCTTTTACAGCTTATCAATGTTTTTCAGATTATTTAAAGTCAGAATATACTTTTAGATTGTAGGAATTATTTTTCTTTTATATATATAATAATGATTTACTGATACAAATTCTGCTCTCCAATTTCAGGCCATTATCCATTACACAAGCCATACATCCAAGCTTACAGTATCTTGTATTCCTAAATGGTGATCCATCTAGGTACTGATCAGGCTCGACTTTGCTTAATCTCGGTGATCGTATGACAACTGGTGTTTCAAAATGATATAACCATAAGCAGGCATACTTGGTATTGGTAGGGTTGGTAGTTATTTAGTTTATTCTAATTACTAAGAAATATAACTATACATTGATTTACTGTTTGGACTAGTTTGCTATTCTGAGACAGCCAGCATTTTGAATATAGATATTTTAGGCTCCTGGCTAAAGTACAAAGACAAAGTATATACTCTGTACCTGACAAATAGAGATTTTCTACATAGAAGACTTTCTCTAATTGGAAAATTGTCTGAATATAAATTGTATCCTGTACCCAACAAATCTATATTATAAAAAGAGAACTGATTTTCTGTCTGTCACACATTGTGCATGCGCATATGTAACGTATATACCTATGTGTGTGTTGTGCACTTTATGTGTATTTGTGACATTTAATGTACACACAAGCATATACACAAACAGTTTGAGTGAGTTTGAAATAAGACACTGGAATAATACACCCTCTTGCACTCAGTCTGGATAACCCTTACCTTGGGCTGAGCAATAATATCATAAAATTGGGGGGGGGGAATTAGACAAAGCTTTTATTAAATTTTAAAAAATTATTTGGTAATAAATAGAATAATTTTTTAATTTTTAAATTTTGTAGATATATTTTTTAGGTTGAATTAAAATACACATGTGCACATTTAAATGTATATAGACACACAATTTGAATGAAATTGAAACAGATCTGTGTTTGGGATGACTAATTTTTCTTTGAACTGGATATACTATCTAATAAATGTAGTATTTATTACAAACAATTTAGATTTGAACTTTCATTAGCTCGCTGTCAGATGGAAACCAAATGATAAAATCACTGAGATGATTGATAAACAAAAACAATGACATCTTTAAGAATGTAATGGGTTAGTGATATTTGTTACAAGACATCTAAGAGATAAAAACATTTCAAACCAAAACTTAAGAACTAAAAATGGAGGGTGCAATATTTGAGCCCAAAGTTTTTCCTTTGCAGTTATACGAATATTCAAAAAAAAAAAAAAAAAACTGATCAGAAACTAGACGAAATATCCTTAGACATTGACAGCAAAAAAAAAAAAGAATAATGTACCCGAGTAGTTCAGTTTGAAATTCACTGAATGACGCCTGATTGACAATCACTAGATGAAGCCCATCTCGGCACAACAGCTGAAATGTGATATTAACAACAAAGATGAGGACAATAGTCTGTGTGTAAGCAATGCAAATCTATTAATGATTTTCATGTAGTGTTATCTGCTTCAAAATTAGCAATTCACTTGTTGTCATTCATTAACAGATGATAGAATTTTATTCATGAATGGCCAGGAGGTATTTTAGAGTGATTTAAACTTTATTTTGGGTAGAATTATTTACAATATATCTTGCATTTTTCAGAAATTTTATTCCACAGAAGTGACCAATTCTTTTACCCTATGGCCATTTAAATGACATCACCTTCAGTGATTTGAAATTGGTTCCATCAAATGTGAGAACGGAGAAACTAACTAAATACAGTTGCGTTAAATATACACAGAAAAATCCTTGAAAACAAATGTAGCAACATTCTGAAGTATTTGTAAAAAATAATATAAAATAAAAATAAATATGTACTTTGGCAAATTTACCAGTAACATAAAACAACTAATTTGTAAATTTTAAAAATTTAAAAAAAAAAAAAAAAAATGGATAGATAAAACTTATTATTTGACCAATCATGTTTGAAAGAATTCTTGCTGCCAAAATACACCTATATATATATATATATATATATATGCGCCATCCTAATTAAAAAAAGTACATAATTCTAAACAAAATATTTTACTATCTATAAACACATTTCCAAAACATTATATCACTAATTTTAATTAAAACCATTCTTAAAGACTGTAATGTATGTCTATTTACCACTACCACAACTGATGTGATGTAAAAAAAAAAAAAAATCCCCAAATCAACATGCAGACAACCTCCAAACATAAATAATGCTTACTAGACACACACACACAAATACATATATATACATTATCATCCAAATCCAGCACAGACAAACTAGAATTATGATACACTTACACACATAAATTATATACACGAATGCTGCTTTTCTAGTCAAATGCATATGAAGTCTGTTTAACCAATGAGAATCAAACAATACAAAAATACTAGGAATTTTTTTTCTATATTTCATTCTCTGATGAATCTTTAATAAAAGTGCCAGATTCTGATCTATATTTGATCCCAATTCATACAGATATATAAGACTGACTCTGCATGAAAACAGAGTATCAGCAATTTCAAAAATATCATATTTCTCTTGCTTTTATAGCATGTATTAATTTTGAATTTCTTAGATGCAAAGCATTGCCAATTATAAATAATTTTTAGGTAATATTTCTTTCATTTTAAAATTTGTTTCTTATCAAAATATCCAGGTCAGAATTCTACAGTCTTTAGGAATTTTCACAGATTGGAAATGAGATTTGTCACAAAAAGCAATAAAATTCACATGAAAGAAATAATTGTAAAAATTTAATAGAAAATGACAATGTTTTATTTAAAAAACTCAGATATTATTAGAGTTACTATGTACTGAGAGAGATTTGATCTAACATCGAAATAAATAAAATGTATGCTCTTCTGTTACTTTCATTATATATATATATATATATATATATA